ATCATTTGGTATCATTTTTGTGTGGTATGTGATCACGCTTGAATGAACACGAGGCAATGTTTGCGAAATCGACCTGCGCCAAAGTTGCTTCTCTGATGTTTAAATAAAACAATTGGGATTTAGGTATTAAATCGGTTTTTGCAGATCCAAATAACATCCCTAACAAAATTAATCATGCCACACATATCAAATATGGAGTATCAAACATCAACGAACATTTGTGCGCGTGTGTGTGTGCGTGTGTGACTTTTCTTCTGCAAAAAGCATATGAAATGCATTTCATTTGATACATTTAATTCATTCTCTCACACCGCTAATCCCAACATATTACATGCTGTGGGCATCACTTTGGCGCAAGTCGATTTTTGCACTCTGGCAAACAATGCCACCTGTTCATCGAAGCGTGAACACATACTACACAAAAATGATACCAAAATATTTGGGATAAAACAATCTTTCATAAAACGTATACAAAACTTACTGTTCATAGATAACAAAAATTAATAATTAGCAATTTTCTAGGTGTAAGTTTTTTTGACTCACACGGTATAGCCTTTACAATGTTTCATTAATGATATATATCTCGAATCAAATAAGATTGAGCAATGTTATCGAGCAATTTAAAAATATCATTTTGGTATTTTCTTGGGTATATTAATGCATGGTGCCTGGATAGACGTAGGTATATTTTTGATTGGGCACTTTACAATTTATATCATTATCGGAATTTATCTTGAATCAAGAAACATTTGTGGTGTTATCGGAACAAACAAAGAAGGATGGATTTTGTATTTTTACAAATAAAAACGGAAAAGTATTTCTACAATAGATTCAATTGTATTTTTAAATACTGGGTGTAAAAAACGCCTGACACTTTTGATCTGTAATAAATTCTAAATTGGTAAGCAAACATTTTATTTCATATTTATGAGGTACCCGTAGCTGGTTTTCAAAGAAGTGTAGACATCAATAATGGCACAGCTTTTATTCATGTTTACATTATTTTGAATTATTTTCACTAGACTGCTAGAGGATTTCAGATTTGGGCTCAAAATTACATTGTCTACAGATGCATATGAGAGTATTTAGTGTATGTATCAAACAATAGCATTTTACTGTCTATCTACACAATTTTTAGTACAACCGGGGGGGGGGGGGGTCGGCACATGATCTGCATTTTTAAGTGAAGAAAGACAAGAAACTACCTACCATCACATCACGGTATCGATAGGCAATTATGCTCTCCAAACTCCACAACGTGTAGGCCCGGATGAAAGATTTTTTGAAAAGGGGTATCGTTTGTTACACGCGCCAGAGGCCTAGACTCTCATAGACCACTATTCAAAATGAAAATTTGTATAGGGGTGGAGTTTGACCAAAGTTGAAAATCCTCTTCTTGAAAGAAATGAAAATGATGACAAAATTAAAACAAGTTCTACCATCTATTTCTACCCCAGACATTTTTTTATACAATATCTTTCCGTCAACTATCGAAAATTAATCAACATGCAACGTACCTGAAAACAAGTGTTCATTTTTGTTCACACCCAGTAAGAACATTGAGCTGCTTGGTGCACATGTTTTCTTTGTTTTTTTTTCTTTTCTACAAATCATCTTTTTGAAAAAAATTACTATAAAGAAGCCACACATGAATAATGCATCAATGAAAAATCAAATCAAATTTGGTGACAATGGATGTAAGCCCTTTTGGAAAGGAGTTCTTCACTATGTTATTAACAAACTAGCTAGATTAGGGAGAGTATGCCATTCCAAGAAATGCCTGGGTCACAAACACACCGGGCCCTTTGCGATGTAATTTATTGTATAATTGATTGTTGTAAAGCCCATAGAGACTTTCTTATTATGCGCTTTATACAAATTACTTTATTATTGTCATTATTATTTCCTCTACCCGGCGGCCTGCCATCCGGAGCTCGCCCGGGACGCGAATTTGCGATTCCCAAACCATTCAGCTATGGGAAACATTTTGAGCAACATGATTGGTTAAAAAAGTTATAAAGACACGCCCACATCGACGCGAGCCATCTCATCATGGCGGTGCGAATGTGTCTGGGGCCAAGTCCGAGTGAACCATCAAATCTTCAAAATGATTTTCCAAATCTGCATGTAAGTAGATATTTAGACCCTGTATTTAATTATTTTATTATAAAGTCGCCATGATCTGATCTGTGTCTATGACTTTTGGAATGATGTTTGCATGAATGGGCTGCACATAAACAATGGATAACAGTGGGCCTGTATGTGCCTGTAGCTAGCTCGCGTGTGAGTGCATTGTACCTAACAACATAGCGTATGTGCAGTCCTGAGTGTTTTGTTGAGACTAGCCTAGCCATGACTAATATTGTGAGTGTTTGTGTGTCTGTGCCAGCTGTGAGCGAGCCCGAGCGTGCAGTAAATGACGTAATATTTATTTCTTCTCTCGACCAATCACGTTGCTCATAAAATCTCCCATAGCTGAATGGTTTGGGAATCGCAAATTCGCGCCCGGGACCCGTACGATGAGGGGCCATTTACCGTTTAAACGTCAGATGAAAACGCTTGGAGCTACTCAGCAATACGGCGCCCGTACGGCTGATGAAAAATACCCCGGCGCCCGTATAGGAACTGTACAGGAGCCAGCCGGACACCGGCTGAAAATCCCCCAAAATGTCTGCTTTTACTCGCCGCAAGGGCGCAAGAGTATTTGCCCCATAAAGAGTGTCCTTTTACAATATACTGCTATTATCAATTCTCTGTTAATACTTGGCTTCACGGAGTACTTCTTCATAAAGGAGCAACGTACGTACACGTAGTGGCGGATCCAGGGGGCGGGGGCCCGGCCCCCCTCCCCCTTGAAAAAAAAATGTGTATTTTACATTTTTTAACGTTAATTTTTACCTCTTTTTGGAGAAGCCCCCCCCCCCCCTCCCTGGCGCTCAATGGAATGGGGGAGGGGTGCAATTTTGAACATTGGGTGAATAGTGATTCTTTACAATTTTTATATATTTGGATGCCCCTGTGGATATATTATACGCACAAACAAATTTAGACCCTAAAAAACTTCTGCTTTTGAGAAAAAACATGAATATTGCTCCCAGTAAATTTTGATGAATTTCAAATAGGTTCTACGGCCTTACAATGGTAGCTGCGACCATGAAAACCTTCGAATATGTATTTCTGATGTATAATTTCCAAACTGGAATATCTAATCGGTCGATTTTAATCAAGAAACATTGTTTTATAGCTTAATTAATATCTTGATCTTGAGAGAGAGAGAGAGAGCTATACAACATAAACAGTTTATTATTTACAATTTCGTAACCGCGAAGGCGATCACTAAATATTTTAGGATCGCATATGCTTCCAATATGTTCATTTGGAAAAAAAATCATGACCCCATACCAACATTTTGTTTTACCTTTAATAAAGATATGTTTAGACAATATCATGTAAACACGTGTATAGTTCCTTAAAGAGAAGGTTCATTGATTTAAAAAACTAACTTTAATGTCATTATTGCAAAGGTCACAAGGCTTAGATACAGCCCGACATAGCACCTGAAAAGCTCCCCGGTCGCTGCTGAGATATGACGTCACATGTTGAACATGATGTGCACAAACAGACGATGTCCCATGACGTCTTACACAATTTCAGTTCCTGTTTTGTCATCTTTTCTTCAGTTACTTCTCTTACTTCAATACCCTCAGGCGAAATGTTTACTCTATTGCCTCACCCTAAACCCCGTGCATGGTATTATTTTGATGAAAAATGCAAGAATTAAATTTTAAAAAACGAATCCGTTGCTTAAATTGTAAACAAAATAAGACGCCATTGTATTTTCACCTGTATACACCGTGGCATGTTCGGCGTTTCAAGAGGGAACAAGATGACGTCAATGTGAAAGTGTGGTTTCTTTGATTGTTCATTAACCCATATCCAAACAAAAATAATTTCGTTATCAGAATGGAGGTCGTAACTATTTTTGAATGGTGTAAAATTCCATCGCATTTATATACACTAAACTCATTATAATTTGAGAAATAAAAGCATTGCAATTATGTTCATTCTTTATGGAATGTCGTCTGCTTGGGCAGGGTTGGTTCATATTGTGACGGCATTAAAATATCGTTATTTCAGGCGAATCTCTGGCATATCCCAGATGCTATGGAGGTTGTTTTATTTGTATTTTTATAAACCCCCCGATATGTAGTTGACCTAAAACTTGCATGATGGCCATCTGTTAGCTTACCAGTTTGTAGTAATACGCTATTTGCCATATTTGTGATTTTCTATGAACCCGCACTTTAAGATGAGTCACGAAAGTAACTGCATTTCGGCCAGTGGACACTTTTCGTCAATCGTAGACTCATCTCGCTGATCTGAAGTAGAATTCGGCGATGTGTCAGCTAGACACATCTCGCCAGGCAAGAAAAACAGGGGATGGAGACAGAATAAGAGGCCTATACACTGCAAAACCGTATTTGAGCGATACAGACACGAACTAAAATAGTGGCTTTACAGGTCAACATGATAGAAACAATGGAATCGTTACATATTTTCAAACAAAGTATCGATCTCCTCCTGGCTTCTTCATTCTTTTTTTTCTCCACGATTTTCAGTGATCGAAATTTTTTCAGTAGTCTCTCTCTCTCTCTCCTCTCCTGTGATATGTTGTGTTTATACTTCAATCCTCTCTTTTATACACCTTTCCCTTGTTTCCTTCTCATATTCTATACAATTCCCACTTCTCCTTGAATGACTCATGTATTCATGAACCATTTTATGATTAGTAATAAAGCAATCGTTACTTTATATCTCTTATTTTCATCGTAATAATAATAATAATAATAATAATGATGTTGATAATAATAAATAGTGATAATTTTGATAAAAATCCTGATATTAATGATAATAACTGTTGATAATAATAAAAATGATGATGATTAAATTGTCTGTATTGAAAACATATACTGTATGAATCACACATGGACTCAAATAACTATTCAGCAGTCTTCCCTATTGGAACATTTATTTCAATTACTAGTGATCTCTAATGAAAAATATATATCAATACAAAAATATATCATACGAACAGAAATATATCAAAAACATACATCCTTGAAACATGAAAGACTTATAAGGGGTAATACCCTAGTACTGTATAATGAATGGCTTTGGAGGAACATGAATATAGAAATTAAACAAAATATATATTACATATTTAGAAACATATTTTAAAATGGCAATGAGACAAAAGAAAGTACGTGTGCGTTAATAAATTTACTTGCATTGTGCTACATGACACATCCATTGTAAGCCTGCTTTGTTTCAATACATCATACATACATTCATGTATTTTTATTCTTTTTCAACCCAATTCATTTCTACATCATTATTAAAGCGACATGTTTCTAAACAAGAGAAAGGACCTACGTGAAAGTTTTGGTTACACTTCTCTTAATCTTTATTTAATCTGCATAACCTTTTAATTAATTAACTAAACAAACAAGTCCTTTTTACACATTCCTTTAATTGAAAGGGAAGCAAGTGGGATACAAAATATTCCTGGTGGTGGTGGTGGGGGGGGGGGGGGGTTAACTTTGGTATGTGACAAAAATGTCACAAGTACAAGTGCACGAGGTAAAAAATATTGTTTTTTATTCATAAAGGAAATATTTAAAGTTACTGTTTGTATTGTTTTAGTGCTATGTATTTACCCTATATAATCACATTATTCTGGGTACTTGATAGCCCTTTTCTACATAATTTGAAATTAAATCTATTCATACAAAACCATATCAATTAAAAAGAGTATTCATCTAATATATATATATAAAGAGAGAGAGAGAGAAAGAGGGGGATGGTATACTCCCCGCTAACATAAGCATTTGAAATAAAAATATAGAAAATTTGTACTATTTAAAGTCTTAAAATTGATCCGCATTAAGAGCATGAGATAGGAATCAGCTATTTAGATAACAGTTAAGGAGAAAGCATATGTTACCACATTCATGATATTTTGTGAGATAAATATAAATCACTTGATCAATACATATATGATATCGAACCCATCCTGATTAACAATGCAGCCCTTGTACACTCACAGATACAGAAAATCGTATTCAATTCATTTTTACATTTATCTTCAAATATTTCTATATCATTAGTTTTATGTTTTTAACAAAGACTTGCTGACAAGCAGTATTTTTAGACTGATTTGAGTAAACCTTAATTAGTATAATAGTATGATCGTTCGTAACAGAGACTTAGCATGATTACATCAATTTATTCAGTCAATCGGTTAAATGCAAATACCGTAAGCCCTTAATTAATATAATAGTATGATTGTATACACTTTGATATTTAGCCTATCAAGGGGGTTACTTTGTTGCCTGGCAAAAATGTTAGAGGTACAAGTGCAAGAGGTAAATAATGTTAGTTATATTCATAAAAGAAAGATTCAAAATTACTGTTCGTACTGTTTTAGCGCCATGGATTGATCCCATATGATCATACTATTCTGTTTACTTGATAGCCCTGCTTTCTACATCATATGCATTTAAATTTATTCATACAAAATCAGAATGCTGTATAGTGTATTCATCTAATATATAGAGAGAGAGAGAGAGAGAGAGAAAGAGAGGAGGTGTTATACTCCCGCTACCATAAGCAATTGAAATAAAACTATAGAAAATTCGTACTATTTAAAGACTTAAAATTGGTACATGTTAAAAGCATGGGATAGGAATCGGCTCTTTAGATAACAGTTTGGGTGAAATCATGTTTTACCACATTTTTAATTTTTTTGAAACATGAATATAAATTACTTGATCAATAAAGATATGATATCAAACCATTTCTAGATTAACAATGAAGCCCTTATATATTCACAGATACAGTAAATTACATTGAAATCATTCATGTACTTATATCCAATTCGATCTGTATAACATTAGTTTTATGTTTGTAACACAGACTTGCTGAAAAGCAGTCTTTTTAAAATGATGTGAGTTTAACATGATTACATCAATTCAATCAGCCAATCGGTCAAATGCAAGTAAGCCGTTAATTGATAAAATAGTATGGTTGTTTGTAACAGAGACTTGGAATGATTACATCAATTAAATCAGTCAATCTGTCAAATGCAAGTAAGCCATTACTTAATCTAATAATATGATTGTATACACTTTGATATTTAGCCTACCAGAAGAGAACCCATCTATCCATAAGACGTAACTAATTCACTAAATTCTTTTCCGTTGTCATATTCGTTCTTTGTCCGAAGGTAAGTTTCTTGGTGATTAATAATGCATGGGATTTCGCTCCACACCATTGTACTGTAATAAAGAAGAATAATAGAACAAAACAGAAAATCAAAGTTTGAAAGAAAATACATATCCTTTGGTATTAAAGTATACCAATCACTTAACACAAATAAGTTATGTATTGCTAGAATTAATAAATTAAACTTCAACATTTAACCAGGCATCTAATGGATTCACGGTTAAAAGGTAAGGATATAAAACAGTGCACGTGGAACCCAAGTTGGACTTTGGTTCCGTGTGAGCCCTATTAGAAGCGAGTGCTGAGGGTGCACTGCATACTCCATAGTCTACTCACAAATTTCTTGTATATCAATTGAGAGTGTTAAAATAATTTAAGTTAAAATATTTAAAGTAATATCTCTAAAGCTCATATTTGGAATCAAGTGATACAACATGGAACTAGTAACATATAAAATAATCTATTTTCTGGTGATCAGAGCACTCTAAAATAGAAATAATAAATGAGGGGTTAGAGAAAAGACACAAATGTGACATGACAAGCATTGTAAAATAACTTATTAATTAATTAAAAGTAATTCCAGTATATTAAGACTGGGAATGGGTCCTTTTCCTAAGACGGTCAAAGTGGAGGTGTCATGGTATAGTGGTCAATTCACTTGACTTTTAATCCAAGCCAAGCAATAATGTCCTTTGACTGGAATTAATCCACATTTACTAATCTCTACCAAGGTATTTATGATGCGAAAGTCAGTGCAGTTTGCTTAGCATTGTGGTTTTCTATAAAATAGCACTTGGCTGGGCTGTTGGCACCTCAGGAGGATGTGCCTACATTTGCATGCATTGGGTGCAGGCAAGCCTAAATCCAATGACCAATGGTAATACTATAACAATAAAGTGCTTAGAGACATTGCCAATGTATCAAGCCCTATTATAAACCAACATCGTTATCATTACTTAAATTAACATTAAATAATACATATAAAGAATTTTGAAAGGGCAGATTAACTTTCCCACCAATTTAAAGGGGTAACTTTTGCCAATCTTGTATAGTTCTTGGGAGAAAGGAGTTGACACGTTCCAAAGTTCTTCATTCGATGACTCTGTATGCATCAAATGTCCACAAACAGTGGGTGAAAAGGCCACGCAACAACGCCGCCGAGAGAGCTCAGATTTTATGTCTAGCCCACAAGTTGTAAATTGGCCCATGACATCTGATAGGTGGCATACCGTATTACAAGTACTCAGAGCCATAAACACAAGAGTTTGATCAACTTGATTTCAGTTGGTCAGAACATGGTGTATTTTTGTTCAGTGTCTGCCTATCATAGCAGTATTTGCAAATCTGTGCCAAACTCAAATATGATTGGCCAAACTCTCCTGATAAATGACACTACGAATGCAGAGCATTGTCAAATGCAAATAATCTTCTACATACCGTTTCACTCCCATCTACCACATAGGGAGTCCTGAAATTGCGATCTCCATGATGCTGTTGGGAAGACAAACAATAATAAAAGACTTGATAATTTCTTTTTCTTTCAAAACATAATCTATAAAATCATTAAATCGATAAGTATACTGATTAAAAACAGATAATCAAGAATCTAGTTGTATTTTGAACAATAAAAAAAATAAAAAAATTCACTAGACCTGTTTAACAATTGTATGCATACTTTTTAAATAATGTTTTTCTTGACTACTCAAAAACTTGCCAGAGGATTGTCCAACATAGCACGAAATAATATAAGCAAAGTGGATCTCATTCATAGAGATGCAATTATTAGCAGGTGAATGGAATGACTGCTAATGGGGGAGAAGAAACATGTATAAGTTGAACGAGTAAGTAAAATGGTCTATTCAATGTGATCATTCATTGTACAGCTGAAATAAAATTCCTTACTGATACTAATTTTATATTTACGTGGATATTTCAAGCAGTGGTATAGGTCCTGGAGGCTATGTACGGGATGGGGGGGGGGGGTGCACATTACCCATCCATGCCTTGATGATTTTCGATGACGAGGGTTGTTTTGTTTTCAATATTTATCGTCATTTTGATAACCCTTGCTGCGAAGGGGTCAAATTCATTGTATATGTTGCATAAAGAATTTTGTTTTGTTTCAAGCCCTTCCTATAATTTGTGTGCCAGATTTGGTAAAAGAAAAATTAGATCCTGACAAAAACTCAATATTTCAGGATAATGCGTTACTTTGTGCATGTTTTAATGTCCCACTCATTATTTAATCCATGATTTACAATCTTCGACAATATAATTATTAAGTTTGCTAATGCGTGTTTTTTGTATTTTTTGCAGTCGAAACTAGATGGAACTTCGACTGCGCGCAGTCGAAATGATGCCTCCGTCATAGAGCAATTTTACAAACCAAAGCAGAAGAAATTGTTTAAATTCAAGTTCAATTGTAATCCATTAACAGGTTCTCAGAATATTGTGATTACAAGCAATTTCTCATATACATATATGACCCTTTGATCTTTGACCACATGACCCTAGCATCTACTCAGTTCATTGGCTCTGCAAGATGTCCCAAGTTAAATAGTAATCCATCTGTCAGTTCTAATGAGAATGCGTTCACAAGCTATTTTTGCATACATAATGAGCCCATGACCTTTGACCTTTGACCTCATGACCCAACAATCTACTCAGTTCATTGGCTCTGCAAGATACATACATGATCTAAGTTTGGGAGGAATCCATCAATCTGTTCTAATGATAATGCGATCACAAGCTATTTTTGCATGCATAATGAGCCGCATGACCTTTGACCTTGACCTCATGACCCCAAAATTTAATCAGTTCATCGGCTCTGCAAGATACATACATGACCTAAGTTTGGCAGGAATCCATCAATCGGTTCTTCAGATAACGCGATCACGAGCTGTTTTTGCATACATAATGAGCTCTGTGACCTTTGACCTTTGACCTCGTGACCCCAAAATCTAATCAGTTTATCGGCTCTGCAAGATACATACATGACCAAAGTTTGGCAGGAATCCATCAATCGGTTCTTCAGATAATGCGATCACGAGAACGGGACGTACGGACGGACGTACGGACGGACGTACGTACAGACGGACGGACAACCCGAAAACATAATGGGTGGTATTCTCATAAGTTAAGCCGAAAGTCCAGACTAAACAAGAATTTTAGTTCACACTTCTATGGAATGCTAGGTTTCATCTTCCTCCTTCAATATTCATGACAAAGATAATCTACCAAAAACTTTGTTGAAATTCAGTTCATACTCATATTATCTTTTTCTTCCCATTTCATTGCAAAATTAATTTTTTGAACACTTTTCATTGAAGGATTAAAATAATCTGTACAGGGTAAATTAGTTTGCAACAGGCACTCCATAGAAGTGTGAACTAACTAAGTACGCGCTAACTTTGTACGCGCTACCGGAATACCACCCAATGCCTCCGGCTACTTCGTAACGGAGGCATAAAAAGGATGAAATTACACAAGTTTGTGTTCGCTTGTTCTACTCATTACACATTCAACAATTGATGAGAAATCATTGAAAAGGACAGCCAACAGTTGCTGGGATACCATTTTCGGATGTAAAAATTCTAAATCCTGAAATTTCATGCGCTCTTTTATCTCATCACCTGGTGAACAGTTGCAAATTAGCGCATAACGTTTCGTTGGCTTGTAGCATGGGGTCAAGTGAAAGTGGCTTGATTCCACTCTTTTTGTTCACCTCTCTCGGTATATAAAGCGTTAAACACATTGAAAGGAAACTGTTTCTACCTGTACATCAGTTCGGCGCAGTCGATCCAATGCTTGACCAACAGCATACCGGCGTCCTTCAAGGGAGTTGTACTCATCAGAACCATTGAAAGATTCGTTTCCGTAGAAGCCTCTATTTTGTCTACTTGGATTGTCATACCGTTGTTCACTGAAAAAACAACAACATTGTTATATTTTGTTTTTCATCAGTGTAAACATTGTGAGAAATAGCATCACCAAATTTACAAAATGTGCCGAGACAGAAGACCATCACTGAGAACTGTGATGGGCCAATCAAGTGGTTCACTGCATCTCTAAGATAAAGGCTTATAATTATATACATAAATGTAGACAGGTCGATAGAGGTACGGTATTTACACATAGGCAGTGGATTGATAGATAGATACAAAATGTCAAGAAGAGTTAAATATCACTTGGCAAGGCACCTCTAGATACATCTAAGGCGAGTCAAAAATACATATATAGATCCCATACTTTAAGGCATTGCCATCATGAAATTGTCAACATAAAACTACCATTTAATGTTTTTTTTTTTATCCGATTCAAGTCTAGAGCTATCATCTTGCAAGTAAAGTCATCATATATACTGAAATCATAGATGTGGTCAGTAATAGCTTGAGCTTTTTTCTTTGTAAATTTATTGTAATACTCACGCGAGCATCAGTTTTGTTGCTTGATTTTGTCTAACACCTTGTACGAAAACACAGCAGACACAGGTTATGAGGACGAGAACGAAACCAAAAACTCCGAGAGCAATACCAATGATGGCTCCATTCGACAATCCTTGGGAAGCTGCAAAATAAATGTATCAGATATGCGATTAGGAAAAACAAGACCAGACAAATATACATGTACATGAACGCAAAATCAGTTGTGACTGTGAAAAGAAAAGAGAGTACTCTCACATCCATTTCTTGTGAAACTGTATATAAAATCATATATATATATATATATATAAACGTGTATGCCTAGGGAGATGAGTGAGAGGGAGCATAAACACAATAAAAATGACTAATTACACAACTTACCATTCTGGCAAAGGTCTCCTGTAAAACCAGCTGGGCAATTACAAGGCTGTCCAGAAGAAGTACATTCCCCGCCGTTCTGGCAATTTGATTGATCGCACTGAACTGTTCATTTCAAAGATATAGGAATGATTCAAATTACTTCTGATAACTGACCAACTTATTTTGTCGTTATTTATTGACAAGGTATAGACAGTAGAAAACACAAGAACTCCATAAAACTACTCTAATATGAACAAATGATAATAATAATACAGTCTACTGAATACTACATGTGCTTCGACAGCTATATGTGTACAATTTTTGAAATTGTCTAATTCATAGAACTATAAGTATGGAATATAATAAGTGGCGTCATTCTTCCAGCTTATTTTGGTACCATTTGTGTTGGGCATCTCTTCACGGTTGACTGCACAGGGGTCAAATCCCATGAATTTGACAATGTTAAACGCCATGTGCACCAGCACCATGCCTTTTCTTGCCTTGATATTGATACATAACCATCTTTGATTCAATATTGCATGATGACATAACAATAGGTTCAAATGCAAGTCACTCAAATATATCATAATTTGAAGCCTAGTACATTTATTTGTCTCAAACACATTTGAAAAACAAACACTATTTGCTGTATGTTAGAGTGCATCTTGAACACAACATCTTATCGCTTGGTTGCATCAAATACTCACTCCAGTCCTTAGTGATAGAGAGTTGATTACCAATTAATCCTAGATATATGATATCGCAAATAATTAAGGACCATCAAATAAAAATCACAAATGTTTAACAGTTGCAAGGCTATACTAATTTCTGATACAAAAAGTATCTGAAATTGACCTGTCGATTGTGTCCTCTGGCATTGCCTGTCATTTGCGAAGTGGCTTTTTATACATTGCAGACAAGTGAACTCATTTCAAGATACCCAGTCACAATCAACAAAATTATTTGTTTTGAGAACTATAAAGCTAATATTTTGTATGTGAAATACAATATCCTCTTGTAAGGTGTCTAAAGAGAAGAATGGCTGGTGAAAAAAACCTGGATTTTACTCTTACCTTCTGCCGATATAGATGCTACCAGAGTTTGACCATTAGCTGATAAATTTTGATCAATGTTGGTAGATAAGGCAGATAAACTCACAGCAAGCCCATCTGCTACACTTTGGCTCTCAGCAGCAAGTTGCACTTGCACGTCACCGACTACGCTACCTTGGCTGAATGACCGCACTATGCAATTAGCATCAACAAGTTGAGAACCTAACTGTTCCTTTACATATTGGCTGAACTGATAAATGAGAAAGTAGAGAAAACCAGAATCAGAGTATGCTTGTATACATATGTAGTTCATGTAAATATTTTTTTTTTTTTCAAAGATAAAGTTCAGTTCCAGTCATGCACTGAAAAATCAATAGATACAGGGTGATTATGTAGTGCACACAAATTGATGTAAACTATGAGGTTCTGGAAACAACAAAATGATCAGAAATACAGCACTAATAACCCATAGCAGTAGAGTGTCTCCTCTTACTTCTCCAATATGCCTCTGTCTATATGAATGTTCCTCTGACTTTGACATCAACCCATTATTGCAGTGAAGATATATTTTCTGGTGAGTTTAACACTTTCATGACCATGTGACCTTTGACTTTTGACATCTCTCACCCAAGATCCAATCAGTTCATCCTTGAATGCTCATGCATACTTCATCTAAGTATGGTGTGAATTGCTACAATGTGTTTTCAAGTTATTGCGTAAACAAGATATATTTTTGGTATTTGAAAACACATTTATGAGCCTGTGACACTTGACCTACAAGTTTTAACACCAAAAATATAGTCAGTTCAACTTTTCATACTCATACTTGTACATATTTCATCCAAGTTTTGTTCAAATGGGATGAACCGAGGACGAACTGGCAAGACGATAAAAACAATGTCTTGTGCACCATCTTCAGTGGCGGAGGCATAAAGAAAGGACTACAAGTATATTCTCTCTTGTTTTTCAAGGATCTACAAGTAGCATTTGTTCAGGAGGAACCAACACTTTATTACAAAGTTCCAGTAGACTACTGCACTACCTGAAATTTGTATGGACATCTTAATGTGATATATAATGTGTGCTGAAGAGGCACCATTTGTACATATTTGAGTCTACAGAATTGTCATCAATTTTCTCGCATTTACTGGTGAAGAAAGACATACTTACAATGTAACAGAATGCAACTTCATATTCGATGAATTTGGCCGATGACCTATCGGTTAATTCTGGTGTATACGTCAGGGTTTGACCATTCAGACTTTGTCCTGTAATCTTCACAGTCACTTGACTAGTGGACAGACCTCTTGGGAAAGCTGGATATACATGAACAAAGAAACAAAGACATTGGCATGAAGCCAAGATATTTATGGATACTTCATTGCGTTTCCTCCATGCGAAAAATCATGAATACATTCGGTTTTGTATTCTCATGAAACAAGGTTTCCATAAGGAGACTACAGATGGAAAGTGTACAATATATGCAATAGAGTGGTGAAGTGTGACGTCATCAGAAATCTGTTTTTTAGAATTTCTCAATTTTTTCTTCATATTCCGAAAGAGCATAAAAAATAATGTCCAAATCCCGAAAACCAATTGAATATGTTAAGTATTGGCTGAGATATGACCATCTGAATGAATATATGTCCTATGGGAACTCACTGTTATATGCTCTGGCTCCTAACCATTAGGAGTCAGAGCATATAACAAAGAGTTCCTATGGGGAGTATATTTATTCAGATGGTCATATCTCAGCCAATACTTAACATATTCAATTGTTTTTTCGACATTTGGACATAATTTTTGATGTTCTTTCTGAATATGAAGAAGAAAAAAAATGAGAAATTCTAAAAATAGATTTTTATGACGTACTACGAAAACATAATGCCTCCGGCTACTTTGTAACGGAGGCATAAAAAAGGATATAAAAATGCTATTTGGATGATGAACTATTCCTTCATGAAATTTTGCATGAAACTGAACGAACTTGATATTGATTTGTTTGTTATTATCTATCTGTAATTTCAATTTTACCAAGTTGGTAGAAACCTATATTATTCCTTATTGAAAAAGAAAAACTTATATTTAGACATACCATTGCAAGAATTTGCATTGACTAATGTGAATCCAGCATTGCAGATACAAGTGTATGATCCATCCAAGTTGACACATCTTCCATTATTACAGAGACTCGAATCAAGCTCACACTCATTAACATCTAGAGCAAAGTGGTAAAATGAAAATTTGGAACAATATGATGAATAATCTTTAATAATAATTATCATGATATAAACAATGATAATATATGATAGCAATACTAATAATGATAATAATAATTATAGTGATAATGATAACAACTATATTAATAATTTAACAAATAATAATAATAATGATGGTGATATTGACGATGATGGAAATGGTTGAGTTCTGGACATGAGATTGCATTGTGCAAAAAATATTAGTGAGGCTACTTTTATCATACCCTACCACACATCATTGATAGAGATCGTTGTGGGAATCACAATCTCATACCTGCTCTTTAAATGACCTTTATAATGTTTCTTTCTTTTTATTATTTTATTCGCTCTTCATCTTTAATTTTCTGATTAGAAAGGAGCAATTGCTCTACATAAAAAGTCCTTGTATGTAGGTATGTAATATAATTCAACCTTATAGCTTACCTGTTCCACACAGAGTCCCAGTATAGCCATCAGCACAAGAACAAGTAAAAGAGTTAACTTCATCAGCGCAACTTCCTCCATTCGTACAAGGATTGCTATTACATTCATCGATATCTGTGCAAATTGAGTTCCAAAGACAATGATCGGGATTAAAGTGAAGAGAAAATAATTTTCATTTTGACAGATTAATCTTTTTGGGCAGATAAAAGAGAAAATTAAGTATTAAGTCGTATTTCAAATGTAAATGTACGACAGTTCAGGAATAACTTACATCATTTGTAAAGATAATTTGACCTTTCATACCTCTTACACCTAAAGAATATTTAATAAAGTAATCCTTATATGCCAGTTGATTGGGCCAAGTTTGGTATAAATAGCTTTACAGCTTCCTAAGATGTTGCAGTATCAATATATACCTGTTTTGTCATTTGCACATATTTACCAATAAAATTATCTCTCATTTATTTAATACTTTTCCTTTTTATTCATTGATTTATTCATTTACTTGTCATTTTTATTTATTTCTTATAATTATTAAAACTAAACTTATATTTATATATTTTTTTCAGGGGAGGGGGTACTTACTAGTCTCGCACAAAGTACCGGTAAAACCGGTATTAGCACAATCACACTGGTTAGTACTCCCGCATGCTCCGCCATTCTGACAAACAGCTCCACCACACTCGGCTAAACAGAAAATAAAGTTGTAGAATATTTGGATTAATGCATTAATAATACTCTGATACATTCATTGACTGGGGGTTGGTGCCAAAATACAGAGAGAGAGAAGCTTCATATCTTACTGATACAAGTTAAACGTTGAAGAAACTTTTTTAAATGATGAGTAATGTCCTCTATGTAATCATAAAACTGTACAATTTCTCGCTGCCTACGTCTAAAATATTAATTGCCAGAATATTGGTAATGTCCAATCTAGTAGCATTCTTGTGTATTATCTGTCACATTTCTGTTTCTTTTAACACAGTGCTTCGGGGAAAATGGGCAGGACCTCTGTTACGACGTTGCCATTCCTTTATACATTTGGGCGGTGGTTTACTTCATATCGGAAAAAGCCTTTACTCTTTTATGTTAATTGGGATGGGTGTTGGGTTCAATATTCAGTAAAACACCGAAAGGGTACTTGAGGAGATGGATTCTTTGAAGTATTCTGATAAAGCAGACATTAAGATACAGCCGGGGTATAGCGTTTCATTTTCATAAACTGTACATAGAAAAATGCATATGGAACTACACAGGTATGTGGCATGAAAGTGTGGTCCACAAGTTTGATTTATTTCTTGGCATAATTTGAATATGAGGGCATTTGGAATTGGAAAGCCATCCTTTCAGGGGAATTATTTTTGATAATATTCTTCCACAACAACATGAAATGAAAGACAAAGCTCATATACGTTCTCTTCATATGTTTTCAAAGGTGGAAGTTTTGGGTACATGTACATACCATCACATGTACTGCCATCCACACTTAATCTAAAGCCGCTGCCACAGGTGCACATGTAAGTTCCATCGGTATTAGTGCAATCTCCATTAACACAGGGATTATCATCACCAGCACACTCATCGACGTCTAGAAAAGAAACAAAAAGACATTAAAATAAAACAAGCTAAATGCAACAGCATCTTCTCTATGCCTCCGCCCTAAATTCAGTTTAGGAAATGGATGGATTTATTCACGACATATCACACTGAAAACAAAAAGCCTATCTATTGTGGTTCTTGAGATATCGAAATAGCAAGGCTAAAACCTATAAATTCATGAATTGACCTCTGTGAACTTTGATGTAGTTACTCCAAAATTTATTCATATCATTTTCTAGGGTGATACTTACTATCTTCAAGTTTGAAGGTTCATATCTGAAGTGGAGCTTGATATATCGCTTTAATGAGAAAGCAGGGCAGATGTAGAGACGGGCAGACCTTACTCTTACAATTACAGCCAGTACTATTAATCATTTATGACAAACGTAAGAACTGATACCGTTGTTGAAGCTTCTGGTGAAAATCTGGCCATTACATGCAGTACTGTTAATGATCTATGATATATGTAAGAACTGATAACCTAGTTTATGTTTCTGGTGAAAATCTTACCATCACAGGCAGTACCACTATCGTTGGCCTCAAACCCACTGTCACAGGTACACTCATAAGTCCCGTCGATATTGTTACAGGTTCCATTCCCACATGGGTTTGGAATGTTTGCACATTCATCGATGTCTAAATATGGAAAAGAAAACAGAAAAGCGGTAATCCATTGATCATTTCTATTAAAGGCTACACTTATCATACCCTACCACACACCGTTAATAGAGATCGTTATGGGAATCACAATCTCATACCTGCTCTTTAAATGACCTTTATAATGTTTCTTTCTTTTTATTATTTTATTTGCTCTTCATCTTTAATTTTCTGATTAGAAAGGATCAATTGCTCTACATAAAAAGTGCATGTATGTAGGTATGTAATATGATTCAACCTTATAGCTTACCTGTTCCACACAGAGTCCCAGTATAGCCATCAGCACAAGAACAAGTAAAAGAGTTAACTTCATCAGCACAACTTCCTCCATTCATACAAGGATTGCTATCACATTCAACGATATCTGTGCAAATTGAGTTCCAAAGACAATGATCGGGATTAAAGTGAAGAGAAAATAATTTTCATTTTGACAGATTAATCTTTTTGGGCAGATAAAAGGGAAATTTAAGTATTAAGTCGTATTTCAAATGTAAATGTATGACAGTTCAGGAATAACTTACATCATTTGTAAAAACTAATTTGACCTTTCATACCTCTTATACCTAAAGAATATTTAATAGAGTAATCCTTATATGCCAGTTGATTGGGCCAAGTTTGGTATAAATAGCTTCAAAGCTTCCTAAGATGTTGCAGTAACAATAAATACCTGATTTGTCATTTGCACATATTTACCAACAAATTATCTCTAATCTATTTAATACTTTTCCTTTTTATTCATTGATTCATTCATTTACTTGTCATTTTTATTTATTTCTTATAATTAATAAAACTAAACTTATATCTATATATTTTTTTTTCAGGGGAGAGGGGGGGGGGGGGTACTTACTATTCTCGCACAAAGTACCGGTAAAACCGGTATTAGCACAATCACACTGGTTAGTACTCCCGCATGCTCCGCCATTCTGACAAACAACTCCACCACACTCGGCTAAACAGAAAATAAAGTTGTAGAATATTTGGATTAATGCATTAATAATACTCTGATACATTCATTGACTGGGGGTTGGTGCCAAAAAGCAGAGAGAGACAGAGAGAGAAAAGCTTTATATCTTACTTTTTAAATGACGAGTAATGCACAATATGTAAACATAAAATTGTACAAATTCGCTGCCTACGTTTACAATGTTAATTGCCAGAATATTGGTAATGTCCAATCTAGTAGCATCATTTTGTATTATCTGTCACATTTCTGTATCTTATAACACAGTGCTTCTTGCATTCTTGTGTATTATCTGTCACATTTGTGTATTTTATAACACAGTGCTTCAGGGAATATGGGCAGGACCTCAGTTACGACATTACCATTCCTTTATACATTTGGGCGGTGGTTTACTTCATATCGGAACAAGCCTTTACTCTTTTATGTTAACTGAGATTGGTGTTGGGTTCAATATTCAGTAAAACACCGAAAGGGTACTTGAGGAGATGGATTCTTTGAAGTATTCTGATAAAGCAGACATTAAGATACAGCCGGGGTATAGCGTTTCATTTTCATAAACTGTACATAGAAAAATGCATATGGAACTACACAGGTATGTGGCATGAAAGTGTGGTCCACAAGTTTGATTTATTTCTTGGCATAATTTGAATATGAGGGCATTTGGAATTGGAAAGCCATCCTTTCAGGGGTATTATTTTTGATAATATTCTTCCACAACAACATGAAATGAAAGACAAAGCTCATATACGTTCTCTTCATATGTTTTCAAAGGTGGAAGTTTTGGGTACATGTACATACCATCACATGTACTGCCATCCACACTTAATCTAAAGCCGCTGCCACAGGTGCACATGTAAGTTCCATCGGTATTAGTGCAATCTCCATTAACACAGGGATTATCATCACCAGCACACTCATCGACGTCTAGAAAAGAAACAAAAAGACATTAAAATAAAACAAGCTAAATGCAACAGCATCTTCTCTATGCCTCCGCCCTAAATTCAGTTTAGGAAATGGATGGATTTATTCACGACATATCACACTGAAAACAAAAAGCCTATCTATTGTGGTTCTTGAGATATCGAAATAGCAAGGCTAAAACCTATAAATTCATGAATTGACCTCTGTGAACTTTGATGTAGTTACTCCAAAATTTATTCATATCATTTTCTAGGGTGATACTTACTATCTTCAAGTTTGAAGGTTCATATCTAAAGTGGAGCTTGATATATCGCTTTAATGAGAAAGCAGGGCAGATGTAGAGACGGGCAGACCTTACTCTTACAATTACAGCCAGTACTATTAATCATTTATGACAAACGTAAGAACTGATACCGTTGTTGAAGCTTCTGGTGAAAATCTGGCCATTACATGCAGTACTGTTAATGATCTATGATATATGTAAGAACTGATAACCTAGTTTATGTTTCTGGTGAAAATCTTACCATCACAGGCAGTACCACTTTCGTTGGCCTCAAACCCAGTGTCACAGGTACATTCATAAGTCCCGTCGATATTGTTACAGGTTCCATTCCCACATGGGTTTGGAATGTTTGCACATTCATCGATGTCTAAATATGGAAAAGAAAACAGAAAAGCGGTAATCCATTGATCATTTCTATTAAAGGCTACACTTATCATACCCTACCACACACCGTTAATAGAGATCGTTATGGGAATCACAATCTCATACCTGCTCTTTAAATGACCTTTATAATGTTTCTTTCTTTTTATTATTTTATTTGCTCTTCATCTTTAATTTTCTGATTAGAAAGGATCAATTGCTCTACATAAAAAGTGCATGTATGTAGGTATGTAATATGATTCAACCTTATAGCTTACCTGTTCCACACAGAGTCCCAGTATAGCCATCAGCACAAGAACAAGTAAAAGACTTAACTTCATCAGCACAACTTCCTCCATTCATACAAGGATTGCTATCACATTCATCGATATCTGTGCAAATTGAGTTCCAAAGACAATGATCGGGATTAAAGTGAAGAGAAAATAATTTTCATTTTGACAGATTAATCTTTTTGGGCAGATAAAAGGGAAATTTAAGTATTAAGTCGTATTTCAAATGTAAATGTATGACAGTTCAGGAATAACTTACATCATTTGTAAAAACTAATTTGACCTTTCATACCTCTTATACCTAAAGAATATTTAATAGAGTAATCCTTATATGCCAGTTGATTGGGCCAAGTTTGGTATAAATAGCTTCAAAGCTTCCTAAGATGTTGCAGTAACAATAAATACCTGATTTGTCATTTGCACATATTTACCAACAAATTATCTCTAATCTATTTAATACTTTTCCTTTTTATTCATTGATTCATTCATTTACTTGTCATTTTTATTTATTTCTTATAATTATTAAAACTAAACTTATATCTATATATGTTTTTTTCAGGGGAGAGGGGGGGGGGGGGGGTACTTACTATTCTCGCACAAAGTACCGGTAAAACCGGTATTAGCACAATCACACTGGTTAGTACTCCCGCATGCTCCGCCATTCTGACAAACAACTCCACCACACTCGGCTAAACAGAAAATAAAGTTGTAGAATATTTGGATTAATGCATTAATAATACTCTGATACATTCATTGACTGGGGGTTGGTGCCAAAAAGCAGAGAGAGACAGAGAGAGAAAAGCTTTATATCTTACTTTTTAAATGACGAGTAATGCACAATATGTAAACATAAAATTGTACAAATTCGCTGCCTACGTTTACAATGTTAATTGCCAGAATATTGGTAATGTCCAATCTAGTAGCATCATTTTGTATTATCTGTCACATTTCTGTATCTTATAACACAGTGCTTCTTGCATTCTTGTGTATTATCTGTCACAGTTATGTATTTTATAACACAGTGCTTCAGGGAATATGGGCAGGACCTCAGTTACGACATTACCATTCCTTTATACATTTGGGCGGTGGTTTACTTCATATCGGAACAAGCCTTTACTCTTTTATGTTAACTGAGATTGGTGTTGGGTTCAATATTCAGTAAAACACCGAAATGGTAATTGAGGAGATGGATTCTTTAAAGTATTCTGATAAAGCAGACATTAAGAAATACCCAAGTGTGTGGCATAAAAGTGTGGTCCACAACCTTTATTTATTTCTTGGCATAATTTGAATATGGCATTTGGAATTGGAAAGCCATCCTTTCAGGGGAATTGTTTTTGATGATATTCTTCCACAACAACATGAAATGAAAGACAAAGCTCATATACGTTCTCTTTATATGTTTTCAAAGGTGGAAGTTTCGGGTACATGTACATACCGTCACATGTACTGCCATCCACACTTAATCTAAAGCCGCTGCCACAGGTGCACATGTAAGATCCATCGGTATTAGTGCATTCTCCATTAACACAGGGATTAGCATTACCAGCACACTCATTGATGTCTAGAAAAGAATCAAAAATACATTAAAAAAAGAACACAAATGCCTCCGGTCTCCTATATGCATCCGCTCTAAGAGTATAGGATATGGCTGGATTTATCCATGAAATATCACACTAAAAACAAAAAGCCCATCTCCTATGGTTCTTGAGATATCGCAATAGCAAGGCTAAAACCTGTAAATTCATGAACTGACTGCTATGACTTTTGAACCAATAATCTGATCAGATCATCTTCATAAGTTTAAGCCTCGTATCTCCTGTGGTCCTTTTTTTGTTTAATTGCAAAAAGGCTATATCTAAAATGTTGAAATTGAACTTTGTAACCTTTGACCTATAAACTGGAAATTCAATTAGATTGTCTTTATAGGGTAATACATAATATCACCAAGTTTGTGCCTTAAATCTCTAGTGGTTCTAGATCGCGATATCGCTATAACGAGGCAAATACCAGGAATTTCATTAATGACCTTGGACCTAGTTACTCTATAATCTATTCAGACCGTCTTCCAGTAGTGATACAAACTATCTTCAAGTTTGAAGTTCATTTCTGAAGTGGTTCTTGAGATATCATTTTAACTGGACAGACATACAGACATTAACCTTGTGATAAAGGTAAGAACTGGGACCTGTTTCACAAAGCCTTTTTTCAATGACAAATGACAATAATCAGTGACAAATCTGCTGATAACCAATCACAAGCAAGGATTTCAGCAGCTTATAACAAAAATTGTTATTTGTCACTGATGACAAGTTTTGTGAAACTCCCCCCACATGCCCTTCTGTTTGCCAGTGGTAACAATCTTACCATTGCAGGCAGTACCGCTCTCGTTGGCCTCAAATCCAGTGTCACAGGTACACCCATAAGTCCCATCAATATTGTTACAGGTTCCATTCCCACATGGGTTTGGAATGTTTGCACATTCATCGATATCTAAATATGGGAAAGAAAACAGAAGAAAAGAAGTAATCCATTGATCATTTCATTTCATTTTATCATAGTAATATTGGTCTCAATAGAAAAGAAAAATTCCATGAATACATACATGTTGTAATTATACAATTTAAAGGTAATACAAAGTTTTGGTATGGGGTCATGAATTTGGTTCAAATGAACATATTGGAAGCATATGCGATCCTACAATATTCAGTGATTGTTGTCGCGGTTGAAACCGAGTCTTAAGTTATGAAATTGTAAATAATAAACTCTGTATGATGTATAGCTCCCTCTCAAAGTCACGATATTAATTAAGCTATAAAACAATGTTTCTTGACTAAAATCGACCGGTTGGCTATTCCCATTTGGAAATTATATATCACAACTACAATTTCTGAGATTTTCATGGTCGCAGCTACCATTGTTTGGCCGTATGCCCTATTTGAAATTTATCACAATTTACCGGGAGCACCGGTAAATTTTTATATTCAATTTTTCTCGAAAACACAAGAGTTTGAGGGGCTTAATTTTCTGGTGCTTATAATACATCCACAGGGGCATCCAAATATATCAACATTTTAAAGAATCACTATCCACCCGATTTTCAAAATTTCCCAAAACTTTGTATTACCTTTAAAGTAAACTTTAATGAAAGCAGTATTTTGTAGAAAAACATGTGGAAAATGACACTTCGTTCAAAGTTGGCCTACCTTGTATAAATAATCCCGATACAGCTATCATCCAGCCTAACATGCGTTAACAGGCAATCACACAAATTTGTATAACCTTGCAAAAAGTTGTCAGGTTTTTGCAAATTTGATTAAAAAATGTATGCAACACCTTAAAAACAAAAGTGATAAGAAGGCTGGACACAGTTGCATGGTAATCAATGCATTTCTAAGGGGGGGGGGGGGGTAATGAACCCTCCCATTGAGTGGTAGTATCGACAACTAGCCAGTATATACTATATTGTTTTTACTCTTCTGTAGAGACGTTCTGAATGAGAGTTTCAAACCACAGTATTCTTTCATGAAAAAGAGTGTGGCTGTCTAATTGAAAATCATATAAAGAAATATCAGAATACCATTACAAGCCTTTCCGTTGATACTCTTCTCATAACCGTTGTTACAGTCACAACTATACGTCCCCATGATATTGTTGCATGTTCCGTCGACGCACAGGGAGGAATCGTCATCACACTCGTTAACGTCTAATCAGGGAAAATTTCGAGAAAAACATGTCATAATTAGCTGTTTTAGTATTATGATCTTGAGAGATGATTGAGATCAAATAATAACACTATTATTTAAATACAATACTATTAATGAAAATGATGTAAGTAAAATGATAATATTGAATACAATAGGAAACTAATAATAGTGATTAAAGTAAAACTGAAGTATGTGTATATTAACAGACATTAATTCATCCTTTTGTGCCTGTTACCTACCAGATGGATGTTCGACTGTATGCAGTTAAAAATGATGCCTCTGCCATAGAGCAAGTTTACAAAACAAATAAGTAGCAACACGTTCTCAGAATATCATGATTATAAGTTATTTTTCATATACATTTATGACCCTTTAAACCTTGACCTTATGGCTTTAATATCTAATCAGTTCATTGGCTCTGTCCAGACTTCGATAGTAATCCATCCGTCAGTATTGACAATGGGTTCACAAGCTAGTTTTGCATACATAATGAGCCCCATGACCTTTGACCTCATGATCCCCAAATCTAATCAGTTCACCAAGTTTGGTGTTAATCCTTCAAATGGTTCTCGAGATAACATGATCAGGAGCTATTTTTTGCAAACATAATGAGCCCTGTGACCTTTGAACTTGTGACCCAAAATCTAATCAGTTCATTGGCTTTACAAGATACATGCATGACCCAAGTTCGGTGGTAATCCATCGAACAGGTCTTGAAATAACGAGATCACAAGCTATTTTTGCATACATAATAAGCACTGTGACCTTTGACCTTGTGACACGAAAATCTAATCATTTCATTAGCTCTGTAAGATACATGACCTAAGTTTGACGGTAATACATGTACATCAATCGGTTCTTGATCACGAGAAGGGGACATATGGACGTATGTACGGATGAACGGACAACCAGATAAAACATAATAACACTGTTTTTTTAGCAAAGGCATTACAACGAATACTTAACACAAGATGGCCCAATATAATGCTACTGTTGACATCTGTAATTTCAATCAGATTTGTGGACGAAATTACAAATATGTTTTTTTTCTTTTATTGGGAAGGTATAATTATCTTCAAGATCATCAATTTTTTCATTTTTTATGATGTAAATTTGTATTCAGGGGCTATTTCTGTGAGGCAATATCCTATTTCAAATGTGCTACTTTTGAAAGAGCCTAGATGCAGAGAGAAAAATATGTCCGATGGCTTTCTATAGAAACACGGTAGGTATTGATTTTCATTCATGTTGCCTTTGATGATGCCTCAGTCATGTATGATCTACGGCTAGGATATGGCAGCCATAGGCGTTTCCTATCTTTTACAGGCCGTATGGGTCGCCGTAGGGTTATAGGTCATAGTTATAAACTATTCATTCCTAGGTTTGCCGTATAGCCATGCCGTGGAGCGGTTCCAGGCAAACCATACGTCGGGCGTACGGTGGCCTTGCCGTATGTGCCACACCCTGCGGGCAACACAGGGCCCCGGCACGCCTCCCGTATTCTTGCCACACGGCAGCCGCAGGTTTCTGTCTCCACAAATTAAAAGTAAGCTGTGCGGCTACGCTAACATATGTGACTGCTACAGTATATGACCGTGAGAATGCTGCGGCGGACCTATAATTACTATTGGCCGTACATATTTGAGACCCTACCACTGCTGTGGCAAATGTAACTGAGGCGTCACAAAACAAGAGCAGTTATGAATCTGTCAACACAGCTTATATAAGAAGCCATCATGTGCAAATTTCTCACTCTTTCGTTTTGCAAAACTAGCCAATTTCAAAATCAAAATTTCCTCACAAAAAAGCCCTACGATCAAAATACCTTACCCAAAATTGGTGTGACTTTACATGGACACAAATTGTCTTTGCAATTAACAAAAACAAAACAAAACAAGAGATGTTATTAGTGATGTCGTTGAAACTGTTGATCTTAGCTTCAACATTCTTTAAGGGTCAACCTCTTTATGTTTTTTCACAATTCCATTAAAATTACAATTCAAACAGATAAAATTCAAATAAATACATGTGGAGAAATAAATAAAACAGAAAAAACGTAGGAGAAGAAAGGAAAATTATGCAACATAATTAACAAAGAAATGAAAGTAAGATGTTTGGTGGCATAAAAACCTTGAAGGATTTTTTGAGGCGTCAATCCTGCATACTGTTACAAAAAAAGTTGCAGTGACTATAATATATGAATCAATGATAAGATTTTAAAAATTAAAATATTGAAAAATACGTTGGCCAAAATGATAGGGTTTCTTTAAAAAATGGATATATTTTTATAGAGGAAAAACACTGAATTTAAGATATACTTACCCTGACATTCAGTTCCTGTTGAATCTACTGCAAATCCAGGAATGCATAAGCACATGTATGATCCCTCGTTATTTTCGCACATTCCATTAGCACAGAGATTCCCAGCATCGCACTCAATAATGTCTATACAGGAGACAATGGTATCGGTTATAAGATGACATCTTTCAAAATGTTGATACACTTTATCAAATTTGTACCAAAAAAAGGACACGCAAAGGAATGTGTCTTTACTTGAAATACATGTAGGCAGACATTGGAATATGTACGTCTTGGGTTTTTACAGTAAGATAAAATATTCATTATGTTTTAAGAGACGATGGAGCAGATTTGAATTTGGGATGGTAATTGGTTGGGGAGGGGGGATTGTGTAAAGATGAACCAATTATAGGGGAATTCCACCTTTATGGCAAGAAAGCAACTCTACAAGAAAGAAGCAAAAATCAGAAAAGCATACCTTCACAGTTGACACCAGTGCCATCTAGTTGGAACCCTACGTCACAGTTGCAAGTATAAGAACCGGCGGTGTTAAAGCATGTTCCTTTAGCACAGAGGGTGGAATCATCTTCGCATTCATCAATATCTGGCAGTTAAAGGAATCAAGAAATCCATACAGTATAACAACCGAATAATACTTACTCAACAAGGACATTTAATCCCCTGGACAATTACCCCCTGCAACTGCTCCAGCACAATTACCCCCATGACAATTACTCTGCCTGCCTTAGTGGATACCTCACTATGAAGTCCACCTGTCTTAAGTGGGCACTTATAATGCCTCCCTCTAGGCAGAAATACAGATTAATGGTGTCATTACATTTAACAATAGCGATAGCCATTGTTAAATACATTTTGAAATCTGTTAGACATACAACTTTCTTTTTTTCATGCACATCAGTAGATGTTTGGTTTAAACAAACCGCTATAATATTACGTTTGCTACATACATTTTATTCAATTTACTCTCAGATTACATTACACTGTAAACACATTTTGATCCGTTGTTTCATTAAATCATTAGTGTTCAATTGTTACTGCAATTTTATGGCCTTGCCAAATATTTAATTTGGGCTTCTTTCTCCAATATAATGTGCAATATACGAAATTACCCAATATTGTTATTTAAATCTCCTTCTAATTTTATGAACAACTTTCTTGATTTATATGAACGCTGTGTTTACATTTATAAGTGAAAAACTGAATTTGTACGGTTTAATTTCATCTCTTCCAATACATATTTCTATGCTTAATTTCAATTTGTGTACCGGTAATAGAAATGTTCATATCAATTGTTAAATACTTTCTGAACTCTTTCGCTCAAAACAACTTTCCATTTTTTCTTCTCCATTCTCTCCTTTTAACAATCTTGGTCTTTCAACATAAAAGTTTATTACTAGTTTACTACATTAAACAAATTATTTCGTTTTGCAATTTCGATTTATCTGATCAATGCTATATAATTTCTGCAAAAGTTAAACTTACAATATATATATTTTTTTTATATATTCTAAATTTGTTTGTAACTTGAAGATTTTCAGACTGCGAGCTGCTTGTTTGATGTGCTTTTACATTAACCAAACCAACATAATAATAGTATGTGTTAAAGAACTGGTCTTGAAAGGCCTAGTGTCTACAGTGGCCAATTTTCCTGTTTCCCTTTGGTAGCCTTGATAAACATGTCTTAATGAATATTAATACCAAAGGGATATGTTTATGCATGTTTTACGTTGTTACAAAATTCCCTTTTACATACCAATACAAGCAGTTCTTGCTCCATTTTCAATATATCCGTCATTGCAAGTACAGAAGAAAGACCCAATGGTGTTAGTGCACATTCCGTTAGTACACGGGACTGGATCATCGGCACATTCATCAACATCTGCAGCAAGAAAACAAACAATATAAAGCATATTATCATGTTCAGGTTTATAATCTTTTGCAGTTTATAGTATTCCAACATTATTCCCTTTCCCTCCACACATTATTGGGCCGTAAATTATGTATAATTTCCATGTAAATTAAGTAACAATGAAAATGTATTTGCTTTCATGGAAACTTCAATTTGAGTACAATATATTCTTGACAAGCCACTGACCAGACTGCCCAATTGTGATGTGCAAGGATGTAGTGATCTTATATTTCAAACACTTATAACTTTGACCATCCATGTCCACTCCCGATGACTCAAGCCCACACGGTCATGTATTTTTCCCTGACGTCCGCACCCCGGTGAATTAAGCTCACGCACGCCAGCTATTCTCCACTCCTGATGACGGATAGTCAACCTGTTCGAAACGTCGAGCCACTCCCGCCACTCATCCTCTCCAAGCGCTATAGTTCTCCTTAGAACTATAAGCTAAGAAAGATAACCAACAGTCCTTTTCAGGACTACAAACCCTCACAAAAGATTACCGAGAGTCCTTTTCAGGACTCCTCAATCCTCCCTCTCTCTCACATGGTGCACCCGCAAGCCTACTGTATTTCTTATTGTTTCAATTTACGTCATACTTTCACCATTGTGCTTCTCTTATTTTTCTGCTTCATGTAAAAAAACTACTTGCAAAAGTTGGACTGCCCTTTAAAGAGATATGGTCTGCAGTTTCTATAAGTAGTATGTCATAAATGCTACATCTGACACAGACTTTGCGGAAGTAGCATTCATTTGGGCAGAAGTATCACACACAGCAGATTTGATGTGCCAAAAAGAAATTCCTGTCCCTCTCTAATATTAGGGAAAATACCCAAATGGTGTCAATTCCCAAGGAAAACTCATGCTTATTTGTCCTTATGCCCTCCTTACCCTCTTGATTGACTATATTTTCGGCTCCTGAAACTCCAAAGCGCCGGTTATCTGGTAGAGCATTGTTGAACAACGATTCCAATACTGTGTCGTTGATATTTAGTGTTGTTTCAACATCTGTCCTGAAGTCTATGACAGCATAGGGACTGGTCACATTCACATCTGATATTGTAGCCATATATACAGATTCCCCAAGTTCTGAAATGCCTTGGAGAAACATCAGCATCTAAAGATAAAATGACACACATTCACATGAAATTGCATGTTCTTCAAAAGTCAAAAACAAAATTTTCCAGGGAGGGGGAATGGGGAGACCTTTACTTTCTACCTAAAAATGTGTGATTCAGACGTATTTTCACCAAGATAACCACGTAAGCCCATATTCTCTTCTCTAATATGAAACCATTATTATCATTATGGTTTTAACTAGATCAATCAGTACTGTTTTTTAGGAGGATGAATTTGGGGGGAAATCAGAGTTAATCTTCAAAAAGATTTGTCTTATTTTTTTGTTCAGCATACTGTTAAAAAGGACTTTACTTCTGTGAATTGAGCAGGGAGACAATTCTAGAAGGTATGGCAATTAAATCTAAGTGAAGGTGTAACAAAACATCTCTTTCTTTCCAGAGGTGGTGTTTAATTTTTATTCTTGTCGCCTGTGAATTCACACAACAAGGCACAATATATACAGGTGTATCTAAAGTGTAATAACAATCCCCCAAAACTATTTTCCATCTCACTATATTATTCAAAGTATGAGCTTCAATTATTGGTTCTGAAAAGAAAAAAATTCTAGTTTATAATCACTCTCAATAAACATAAAAGTAACTGGTGATGCACATGTACAAGTTATGATACAATAGAGGCCGCATGCAGTTTGATCTATTCTCTATTTCCAGTTTCAGTTTATTGTTTCATATTTTGAATACATCACATATATATCACATTTTGTAATGATTTCACACACAGAAATGGTTTCATAAAATTAAGTCTATTCTAAGACAGAGAATAAATCAGAAACATGAATTCTAGAGTCGCTTTCATTCAAATAATCTAACAAATTAAGTTATTTTAAACAAATATGCATTATCTGTACAAACTTGCATGACCTGTATACACGTTCAATATTTGTATGCCTTGGCAAACAACTACAACGACAACAACAACATCATCAAAAGAAAACATTTTGTTCATACTTCTAATCTGCTTGCCTATAGAATACCGGGTTAGGTTGATTTGATGTTGATTATATGCATTCTAGCTGTAGACAAATTACGGTTTCAGGTGATTGGTACACTTAACAAACAAAATGAATGTGGAACAGACTTACTGTTTAATCAATAATGAGTACATATGGAATTGACTTACGTCACGTTCAAGTTGCTCTTGATTTGTAGCAGATTCGATAATAGATGGATTGGCAGCAATTAAGGCACCGAGAATGGCTTCAAATCTTACCCTCAGTTGCAAGGTTAAGGACGCTAAAATATGATTAAAAAATAAAAGTTTGTTTTTCATTAGTTCTTGTAATTACTTGAAGGGGAAGTCCACAAGCATATATCATGTTGGTTTGACCCTATATAGCCAGGGCTATTTTGAAACTGCATAGCCCAGAATGCGGGAGGGGGGGGGGGATGGTTGGCCTCTTCCCTTAAAGCGTGAAAACTTTCATGCATGTCAGGTGAAGTGTAAAGAATACTATGGTAATTTCATTTTTTTAGAAAAATTCACTCATTTGCATATTTATGGTAATTTATGCATTTATGCTTATTAAGCCCCCCCCCCCCCCTCCCCTCCCCCAGGGTTATGTAGGGTTAAATGGAAATAAAAGGAACAGGTTAACTGTGAGATTATCTGTGATTATCTTGTTCATCCCCATTCACATTAAAGCTCAAAAGTCACAACTTGCAAGGAGGCGAGTGGCTCAGTGGTATTAAAGGCCTGAATCCTCATTACAAAGTCCCTAGGAGAGGACTAAAAGCGGTCGGTCCCCTGGTAAAAATAAACCATATCAACCCAAGCTACCCAAATCTAAGAGTATCATCAATTCATATTGGCCGATGAGATTGCGTTACCTTCACAGCTTCCTCCAATTTCAGCGAAGCCCTCAGTGCAGATGCACCTGAAGTGTCCCACAGTGTTGATGCATTCTCGACTGTCGCTACAGACACGAGTACTTTCTGCGCACTCATTTGTGTCTAGATAGTGGGTAAAACAAAAAATTGATCAAGTTTTGCTATCTATAAGGACCATTATTCATAAGGACCATTAACTATAACGTGTGACAATATATAAATAGCGAGCAAACCATAGGCAATTTACCTCGCTATTCATAAGGACCGCCATTCATAATAGTAATAAAAATAATGATATGTGTGGTTTGCATATAGCTTAATACCCCGATGATGATTCTAAGCCCTGTACAGATATTTAAACAATGCAGTATTTGTATAGCTATACAATTCTTCAGTGTCTTACACTCCAAGACAGGACATTGGAATAATTGCTGGTATCAAGATTTTACAAAAAGACAGACAATGTTTTACCTGTTGCCTCTGAAGAGAGTTTATACAACTGTTCCCCGTAAAGCAATGGGGTAATTTTGAACACCTATAATTATCCTGTTATGTGTACAGAAGTTGTAGGGACTTTATTTACCTTGTCTAATGATAGCAACAGTTCCTAATACAGGTATATTCAATTTCATATTAGAAAATTATTGTAAAGTGTAAATGAGATTTTTGGTAGTCCTTTAAGTTTCTGTTCCTCACTCATTTAGCACTGTTTGATGGTAAAATGAGAAAAGATCCTATTGAAACAAATTTGGTATTTTCTCAAACAATGTATATAAATGTACATCTAGTGGTATATAATAACTCTTTGATATTTAGAATGCTTGATTAATATTCTAGCACCGGCAGTGATACAGATTGGCGATCATAATTATACTGGACATGTACATGCAGTATGCTTGATTGAAAATGCTTTTAAATAACTGCCAAATTAATCATTTTTTTCACATACTTATAACATCACAAAACTTTATACTTTACTTTGTAAGGGATGAATAATTTAGTTGTTAACTGTACATGTACATGTAGTCTCTCTGTCACATGTACATGTATTTGCAGACGGTACAGCAAGAACTAAGGGACCTTCTCGTTTATACTGTACATCATCATTGACCAAGGTCAGTATTTTCCCTCTTACGAGGGATTACTGACTTTCGCGCCATGATGAGGCTCTCTCCCTCCACTTATTCTAATTTTCCCCGAGCGTCCTCCTTATTTACAATGATAATACAAAAACATAGTAATTCCATATCATTTACCATTGCAGGTCTTGGGTGAATCATTCTGGTACCCAGAACCACATGTACACATGAAATCACCATCTGTGTTCACGCACGAAGAGATATCCGGAGGACAGGTGTTTTGAACGTTGTCACATTCATTAAAATCTGTCAGGAATGATATTAATAACAATATTAATAATGATAATAATAACAATTTGATTTTTATGGGGAATAATACAGAGCCTCTGTAGTCTTCCCTTCAAACTACTAATATTTTCTCTGTCAGCATCATCCATTTATTTTGTGGTTTTCCTGTTTTCTATTGTATTCCCAAGAATGATGGGTAGTTTTACTACTAGAGATTATCTATGCCCTTTAACCCTGAAAATTGCTGGGCTATTTGAGGTCTTAATATGGCCCGGGGGGGGGGGGGGGGGGGGGGTGCATTATGCCCCCACCCTAAGATCTCGATCGCTGCAAAAATGTGCATGCATGTCAAGTGAAGTGTATAGAATACTGTGGTAATTTTTTTTTTTTTTTTAAATTCACACATTTGCATATGTATGGTAATTTATGCAAATGTCATAAAATTCACCTTTTTACCCATAAATCATATATTCTTTATATTTAAGCATTTCTTTTTCACTACATGTATTTGTTAGACCATTTGAAACAATAATATGACAACCAATTTGGAAGAGCTAGGTTATTCCTTTTTATGTTATCTCCTGTTTTGATAATTTTTTATGTATTTCATTGTTTTTTCAACTTTTGTAATTTTTTTGTTGTTGTATTTCTAACTACAATTTAACTACTTTGACTCCCAAAACAAACACCTAAACTTTAAACAAGACCCAATAACCAATGTTTTATCTCTTTTTTAGGAAATATGACATTTCCATATATTTTGTACACAAATCACAAAAATGAGCAATTGTTGGGTTGACATGCGAAGACAAAAGGTCATGTGACTTTGTAACTGTACGCCTGATTTAAAAAAAAAATTGTTTAAAGATGCGCAAACGATATACATAGGTAGGAAAGTTGTCAACAAGTAGAACAAATTGTGAAAAACAGAGTTAATTCATATGTATTCATATGAATTCCATACTTAATATGTGATTCATATACGATATTATGTTTGTTATTTACCATACCAGTAAAAAGATACCATACCTGTACAATTGCTATCCATATTCTCCCTCACGTAACCTTCGGAGCACATGCATTCATAAGAGCCAACCGAGTTGGAGCAGTTACTGTTTGGTCCACAGAATTGAAGGACATCACTGCATTCATCTTGATCTACATATCCATAGACATACATTGGATGGGAAAAGAAAGGATACAATATCGATTACAGATTATTTTTGGACGTACAAAGCTTGTTATTCTTAGTTTTGAGAAGGTTATGTTTCAAAATGTATTTGTGAACTACATGTTCGTAATGGGATTCAAGTCATTTTATTGAGCTATTATCATAATCATCATTTTTTTATTATTATTGTTATTATCAACATTATCATTGCCATTACCATCATTATAAGTATATCATTATTATTATTACCATTAATGTCATTATAATTATCACTATGAATATTATCATCATCATTTTTATTAATATTACTATTGTCATTATTATAATTATAATTATCCTTATTTTTCTTTGTTTCTTCTTCTTATCTTATCGTTATTGTCATTAATATAATCTTAATGATCCATACCTGAGCAGGATATCCCATCTCCCTCGTAACCATTGTTGCATTCGCACGAATAGTTTCCAAGAGTATTCACACAAGACGCTAGTTGATGGCATGTGAACAAGGATGGGTTCTGACACTCAATGATATCGGTACATGCCGCGTAGGGATCACCTTGAAAACCAGGCAGACAGGAACATGTGAACGAACCTTCATTGTCTGAACAGTCAGCATACACACCACACGGCGGGTCTACTTCACACTCATTGATATCTACATTAAATGACAATATGAACATCATACAGTGAGACCTGTCTACAAAGACTACTCAAGAAAAGCGATCTTTACATGTAAACCACTTGGTTTTTATGTATACCGGTAGGTTCTTGTATAGAGATATTGAATGCTTTGAGAGGCCTGGCTGTTAAATAGGCTCAAGAGAACACGCACACATCTTGCCATGACCCAGAGGCTTGCCTGGGTGGGCGGCGCACCGAGGGGTCATGGCAAGATGTGCAATTTCTTGTGAGCCAGACCTCAAATATTAAAGCAGTCGATATGTGTTTTAAATGCCAATTGAAGAAAAAAAAATCTACCAAGAATTCTTACCTTATCCTTTTATTGAGTAAAGATTGGTTAAAACATCACAGAAAATCTGAGACACTTTCTGTTAATCTTGGCTGGAAAGATGACTGAACGTTACAATCATTTACATTCATTGTGCATAATAATTACAATTAAATTCTCTAGGCGTTTTATATTATAAACTTGGATAACATAATCATAATCCAGAAAGATATAAATACTGAGTGCATGACAAGATAGGTCTAAATGGATTTCTTTAAAGTTTTGAAAGAAGATCTTTTTTTCCTAATTGTTATGAGTGGAGACTTCAACAGAGCAGGAGCTGATGTCACAATGATTTGGTTTTCTGTATATGTCCTTTCTATTCAGGTGGTCACTATGAAAAAGCAGGTTTCACTGAAATTAAGCCTATTATGATGTTATACATACACACACACATACATACATGTATACATGCTCTGTTCATCAATAGAGCTGTTTGCTAATTTTATGCTGACAAATCAGATGATTGCCATAGGCTTGCCAGACATGGCAACAAATAATGTATGCACATTGGATTCCATCTACAGTATAGCCGTACATAGGCCCTGACTTAAATAACTATTAACCAGGGGTTCTGCACAAATTTATATTCATTATCAAACCGGTCTATTACTGACAGACAGGCATTATTGACAGCAATAAAGAGGAGATTAAAAAGAGTATAAACACTATATATATATATATATACAATATGATTAATTGATAAATCAAGTTCATTGTTACTTTAATATTTATATTCATAGACTTTTTGACATGATTTGAATACATAAAATAATTCAATAAGTAAATGAAATGAAAATTTCATCAATGTAATACATTCATCCTAAGCACATATCCATTGAAAATGCAGATTAAAAATGGCAATTGATTTGACATGGTTTGTCAAATGTAACAATTGTTACAACTAAAAGCTATATTGAGACGTTAAATATTAAATGATAAAAAACAGAATACATTCAAGATATTATACAAGAGTAAAATTAAAATAATAACCATAATCTTGTATTGATATAGACATCTTTGTCTTAATATATGCGACTACAAAGAGATTGAGAGCAGTTATAGGAGAGTAAACTGTTCTTTTGTGTTTAGTCCTATTGCGGACCACTTGAAATTGTTGAGATGGAAGTAAAAGGAGAGAAGTTGTGAGGTAAAAGGAGAGAGAGGTATTCTTTTGTGAGTAAATGCCTGAAAAAGGCTGGTGAACCTAGGAATGAATCCGGAGAGGGGGAAAGAGAGAGAGAGATATTTGTTTTTAAATATTGTATCTACTTACTTGAGCAACTTAGACCATTCCCAGTATAACCTTCAAGGCAGGTACATGAGAAGGACCCATCTGTGTTGTTGCATGCAGCATTCTCATCACAAGGAGATTGATCACACTCATTATTATCTTTTAAAGAAAGTGAAAATTTGGATGGATTAATTCTTATAGCATGTACACACTACAGGAAAAATAAACGAAAATTTCATTAAGAAATGTTGTATAAACTATCAAGTATTATTATACAGCGAAAGGAGCAGCATACTACCTGTAGACGACATCATCGTATACGGAAGTTAATTTCAACAAAGTCAGTTTATATGACAGGTTTCCAATCACTAGAGCATTTCCGCGCACATTCTGTTGAATCTTTTTTTTTTCCCTCTCATATATTACTCATTTCTCGCATAATGTCTTTACATTTGTATGTATTTGCATTTAATATGTTAAAATGTGTACTTTTTTCAAAGGAATTAGAAAATAAAAGAATCTGAAATGTCGTACCTACACAGCTGAAGCCATTACCAGAGAAACCTGGCATACACATACAATTGAAAGAGCCATTTGTATCCATGCAATTCGCGAAGACGTGGCATGGGGACGTAGAAAGGCACTCATCGGTATCTATATGAGGAGTACACACAGCATAAAAAAAGAACAAAGAGTGAGATGTGGAAGTGGGTACTCTCAGAGTTTTTCATATCGGAGTGGGTGTTCGTCAGGGATCAGTCTTATCTCCACTGCTGCTCGCTACTGTGGTCGATTTTTTTTATTGGAACCAGGAAATAAAGATGTGCTATGGAAATGTCGTTTGCAGATGATTAAGTTTTGATGGCTGAATCAATGCAGCAGCAGGTTAGGGATTTCACTGGAAGTTCATTTGGACGGACGGACAGACAACCCAAATCTCCTACAAAGTTCAATATTTGTGCTGTATTGGGCTCTTTAACTTACCTCAAAGTCGGGTCTACTCCACATTCTTGTAAAATAATGTTATACAATCACTTAATAAAATAAATTATGATAGTATTGGGGTAATTGTGTGCTTTATTTTATTTAAAGTCTGGTTGTGGGCCAAAAATAAAAAAATAAAAAAATTATGCCTAAAAGAATAAAAGAAAATAATTTTGTGTAGTTTGTTTCCATGTCAGCTGGAGAAGAACTTGAATGGGATAGGAGAGAAAAAATACATTAATATTATTTCTATTTCTAAATCAATTTCTTTTCTTCATTTTTTTCAATGATATTTATGCTAAACTTTTGTTCGATATTTAAAATCTTTCTCATGCCTGCATCTACCAATAATTTGTTTTTCTCCTGGACTATTATGTCTCTTTCCTTTCAAAAGTTTGACCAATAAAGTGAGGTTGAAATTAAGTGCCTTACTTGTACACATTGCTCCATTTTCCGTGTAGCCATCATTGCATAAACAGGAGAAGGACCCTTCTGTATTGGAACATGCAGCATTGGTATCACAATCTTGAGTACCATCAAGACATTCATCCCGATCTAAAATAATATAAAGAAAAACAAAATCGATCAACGCTTCTAATCATCCGAGTACTAAGTCATATAAACATGATGGAATGAATTCAAGTGAAATCTTGCAGATCATTCCTGTCTGGCACATTGCCACTCCAGGCACTCCGTTATTATTACTCCGGCTTTAGAACAACTGCCATCACTGTGCTTGAATAATATGCACTCTTCTGAAAAAATCAAGGGTGTTTTGATTTAAGCTGTGGTGCGAAACCATTGTCAAAACCTCCATAACAAACTTATCTTAACCCTATTTAGCCCAGGCTATTTTAACAGTTGGGTTGCTTTCTTTGTCTCTATGAACAGTCATTCATTTGCCACACATGCAACTTTGCACAAACGAATAGGGACCAATTGATATATGGATTGCTACATGTGTGTCCAAAACAATCCAGGCTTTGCACAATTTCCCATTTCCAGGGTCGAATAGCTCCATAAACAACACTTAAATAATCTTGCACTGAAAACAGTTAAATAATCTTAAACTCTTTTGTTTATCTACCCCATGCTAAATACTATGTGGCACAAGGAGAATATTTGTGTGGCATATAAAGCGATAATAACAGATATTGAACATGAAGATGAGTACTATATACTAATATAAACAAATATGTGTTTAGCCGTAATTATACAAATAATTCAAGTGCGCATGTGCATAGTAAATAAACACTGTACGCAGGTTAAGTCACAATATGATAATGGATTAGACTTGTGGAGTTCAACTAGTATAACTAAACAGCATAATGCACTTCTCAGTGCGTGAATCAATTTCCTTGCCATTTGGAACTGCATGTATTTTATCCTAATTTTAATTTGTATGTGCCAAAAGTGAGAAACCATGTCTCCAATGAACTTTACAATTTTTCGCCCAAATTGAGTTTAGCATAAAAAGTATAGCTCACTATGTTTACAAGTAGAGTGTACTTTAGCTTCACAATGAATCAATATCATAAGGCCAAATATAAGTACAGAGGGGGGGGGGGGGGGTTAATGTTTTATAAATGTGATGTCTATGTAACGTTAATAAAAAAAGAAATGCATATTTAACAAAAAAATTGAAGAGATGCAACTTAAACAGAATTGTTCTGGCAGCGCATAGTCATTTGATAAAAAAGAATGATTTCATCTTCCATGTGTATTAGTTTATTTCATAACAACAGTTTTACCTGGATATTGTCACATTTTTGGCCCTAATTTCATGGAATTTACATAAAGGAATAATACAATCAAGGCCTACCTGAACAACTTCTTCCGTTTACATCGAGCAAGAAGCCCGTTACACAGGAACAGACGTATCCTCCTGGGATGTTATCGCAGTCCATTTCGCAACGATTCTCCCCAAGGCATTCATTGACGTCTGTGGGAAATAAGAGGGATAAATAAACACAGATATTGAATCACATTAAATTTTGCTATTAACCGTAGAACAAAATTAAAACATAAAATTTGAAAATACAATGTACATGTATATTCAAAAGATACCAAACCGGCAGCTGCTCAATAACGAATCCCAAAGTCATGTACAGTTTTTGTAAGCACTTACTAGATTTTGTTGATATTTGGATGTAATGGGAACTATCAGATGCCTTTTAATGGAAAATTGTGCCAGAGTTTCAATAAAATGAATCACACTTGACTGCTCTCAGACAAATAATTTGATTAGTGAGTTGCACATATATAAGAAGTGAACAACAAATAATTAGAACCGTAACAGAAAGATGATACACAATATTTTTGCAACAAGCTTTTGTCACATGTTATACCATGAACTCCAGTTGAAAATATGTCTTCTCTGAGGTGATGGGCATAGCAGTTTTTTCTCAGGGGTATGGCCCAAAAGAAAATAGTCACCATGCCATTTAACCAAAATCTTTTACTGTATTGGTGCCTCAAAAAGAGTGCATGGTATTTCGATATATATCCCTCATTAACAAATGAAAAATTAAAAGTGTTAACTATTTAGAAATGCATCTGAAAATAAATATCCACTTATACCTAATTAGTCAAAACGAGCACATACTAAGCTCACAAAAAAGTGCAGCCCATTTCACAGTGGCTGCAGTGGCAATATCATGACAGGCCTATCAATGGCTTGGAACAGTAATATAAAAGGCTTTACCCCGGTTGACGCCATGCAAACTCCATTTTGGGCTTCATGGTGGAAGTATTATACGTGAGCCATCTGTAGCCCTTAAAGACCTTGCACTGGGACTTTTTAGAAGTAGAATATATGTGTATACGCAGGCAAGTATCTGCTTACTTGGAGCCCTATATATGTTTTCAAGTATTGTGGAGTTCAGAACATACAATCCATTGTCACTTGCATTACCCATGTCATTTTACTTCACAAATAGTCTTATCTTAGATCTAGTATGGCTAATACCTAACAGCGGGACTGCACTACTTGTAGCTACTTGCGCCCTCTATATAACAAACAATGCCTAAGCGACACGTTGTTCCCCCACGGTCCCCTTTTTCTTACGTTAATTGAGAGCTGATTTGATGATTCCCTCCTAGCCAAACTAGTGCAGATAGGCTTTAACCCTACGTTAACTGGGGGGGGGGGGGTCAAATTGACCCCCCCCTGTAGAAATTTCGCGACTACTCCGAAACCGCGGCAGATATAAAATTTTCCTTTCATGACTTTTTACTTTTGAGTCTTACGCATCTTTTAAAATGATTTTTTTGAAAATCGGACCTACGGTTACAAGGTCACGTGACCTTTTGTCTTTGCATGTCAGCCCGAAAATCGCTCATTTTCGTGATTTGTGTACAAAACATATGTAAAAGTCATTTTTCCTAAAAATAGATAAAACATTGGTTATTCAGTCTAGTTTAAAGTTTAGATGTTTGTTTTGGGGTCAAAATAGTTGAATTGTAGTTATAAATGAAATAAAACAACAAAAACAATAAAATACATAAGTTAAAAAAACAATGAAATACATAAGAAATTATAAAAACAAGAGATAACATAAGGAATAACCTGGCTCTTCCAATTTTTTGTGTTGTATTATTATTCCAAATGGTCTAATAAATATATGTAGTGAAAAAGAATACGTAAACATGAATAATCTATGATTTATGGGCAGAAATGTGAATTTGATGACCTTATTTGCATAAATTACCATAAATATGCAAATGAGTGAATTTTTCAAAAATTTGAAATTACCATAGTATTCTACACACTTCACTTGACATGCATGCGAATTTTCGCGGCGATCGGCGGTGAAACGGCCGAGATCTTAGGGGGGGGGGGGGGGTCAAATTGACCCCCCCCCCCCCCCCCCCAGTAAAAACCTGGTCTGAAATAGCCCAGTTAAAATAGGGTTAATAAATACTTACATATGGCCGGCAATATATAAGGACAAAATAGGTTGGTATTTTTCATACCTGTGCAGTTGTTTATAGTTGAATTGAATTCATATCCAGTCTGATCGCATACACAGATTTCCCCGTCCGTAGAATTAATGCAGACACCAGAGCCACATTCGAGGTCACAACTTTCAGTAACTGCAATATTCATATTAAAGAATTTCAGATCAAAAATATTACAGTATTGGGTAGCCACAACTGCTATCATTATCAGCCCCGCATTTGTTCCTAGGATACCTCGGTTGAGAGTGTTGACACCTTAAGAAATTGTGTCTGCACAAAAGCCTAATTGATCCCATTTAAAGGGAAAGCCAACCTTTGTAATATTTTTATTTCTATGAAAACAGAAAACTAAGAAAAAAAAAGGTAAAAGTTTGAAATAAATCGGAATAAGAAAAATATGAATATTTGACATATAAAATCGCTACATCTGTTTCAATATGAAATTGTCAAGTTGGTCAGTGAATATTGACAAAATCTTAATTTATGTCAGGCTCGTCAGTTAACTGCCTTCTACATTGGGGTAGTCACTTAAAAAGATATTGTGGGTAGCATATCATTATATTATTTTTTGCGAATAGAGTTGCATTAATATCACAATTGAATGACACGCACCATTAAAACTAAAACAACAACCGCATCAGATCATATACGTTGGAATATTGAGTCATTTTGGTAGTTTGTAGCGATATTCCAATTGACTATTACAGGAGCTTTGCTACTGCTAGAGTGTAAGGTGGGGATGACCTCCTACTCAATTATTTTGGGTTTTTCTTTTCAGGAAGGCATATTTAAGGGCCCGATTGATCATATACGGTTTTTCAAATCGGCAACAACAACTTAATTTTTCTTTTAATGCTATATTTTCAATGCAATGCAGTGTCTCTGGAAACGATATGCAGTATGTGAGAAGGGAATTTGTCCAAAAGTTGGGAAAATTTCAAATTTTGATAACAAAACATAACATGTGTTGCTAATTTATGAATTATAATGCATACTTGCCCTCCTAAAATCTGTGATATCGAATGCAAATGATCATGCATACTAAACTACAACGTTTTCGACTCCTATAATACCTTTTTAATTCAGACCTACTATATTGTGTAACTCAGTATGCGAGCCTATTCACTTCATTACAAGCTATGCTCTTTATTAAGGCTTCCTACATTGTACATTGTATTACCTTGCCTGTCATATCTATATATTTTGAAACTTCTATTTTCCGTACATGTATACTTGATTTGAAATCTTTATTTTTTTGTTGCAATCTACCCTAATACACTTGTATGAAAAGAAAAAAAAAAGTTTTTTTAAAAGTAAATGGGGAACAAATACACTTCAAACTTCAACTAAAATGGGCACATGGTGTGCATAATTTAGTTTCCCTTCTTATCATGCATGTGGTATACTCGTTACAGCTCTGAATCAAGAGCTGTCCAGCACGTCAAACCACAAAATGAGGGAGGGGGATTTCAAAGGGTTAACAAAAGGAAATACATACCCATGCATGTCTTGTTATCATTCATAAGAATAAAGCCTGAAAAACAACTGCAGTTGAACCCAGGACTGTCATTAATGCAGCTCTGCTGACAGTCATGAGTTCCCAATGTACATTCATCGATATCTGTGAAAATAGAATAGCAACAACAAGAACAATAAGAATAACAATGACAGTTAACAAACATAAAGTAATAATAATGTTGTTATGTTAATAATATGTCTTATTTTACCAAGGGTAGCCTCATCAGTATTTACACTGTTCTCCTTAAGGGACCTGCAATCATATAATACACCCCGGCTTTAGCCAAGCTTCCATGATTAAGGCGCACAAGCACTCAACAAATTTCTTCTTACCAATAATAACATTAAAAAACAATTATAATGATAGCAGTAATATTAATATAAATATCATTCATAGTATCATTATACAATCTACATTATTTGTCTCTGTATGTTTTTTGGTTATCTCTGTCTGGAAATAAATTAAAATAGTACTGCTCTGACTTGAATGGTGATGCGATATGGGCCACACATAGACCATGATTGGTTGATAGTTTGTCACATGATTGAAGTGCACCAATCATCTCCAAATGCAATTTGTGTATAGCTAGAGTATGTGACGTCACCCTAAAAAACCTACATGGTATTCTATGGGTTAGCGGCTAAGAAGTTTGAAGAAAACAAAGGATAACCTAAAGCACCTATCACGGAACGCAAGTACGCCTTAGCTTTCATGCGGCCCTTGTTCTATGCGAACACAGAAACATGCATCGACTAGTCTATTTTCTTTGTATCTCTTTGTAAAACAAATATTTGGACCTCATATTTTGAATCCAGTACAACAGGGTACCCCTTCCGTCAAAACAAAAAATGTTTTGGTGATTGAGTTAAGGGTGCAAAAATACAACAGTGGAAATGGCTTCAATGGACAAAGTTGCACGGCATTTCTACATGAATATGTGTACAAGATTTTGGCAATTTTCTTCAATTTTTTAATGAGTTTTTCTTTCATGGACTTATTTGTACCTCTTTCCATAACTAGATAGGTACCATTTCGGTTTGGGTTGTGGCATCCAAGGGATGTACAAATACCACGCCCATTGTCAGTTCAAACTGGAAGGCTGCCATAGCATCACATGGCTCACACCTATTATCAATGTCCATGACTTTCCATAACTTATCATAATTAATTATTTTTCCATGACTATCTAGGTTTTTCCATAATTTATAAGAATATAGAATTTGTGATAGCTACATGTACATATAGGTCTTTATAGCTACCTTCACATGCGAATCCATTTCCTTGAAATCCTTCGTTACATGAGCAGACAAATGATCCATTAGTATTCACACACTGTGCGTCCATATCACAATTAGGGTCATCGTCACATTCATTCGCATCTAGATAAAGATAGATAATGCATTACAGTGAAAACCGTTACGTCTTTCAGATAGTGATGCCAAAGGTCGGTCCCCAGACATTAATCATTATATCTGATTGATTTGATAAACGGAGGTAAAAAACCCAATTACACACCTGTATATAAAGACCGCTCAATGGAGACAAGAAAAGCGGTCTTTATAGTGAGGTAGTCTTTAAACGAATAGTCATATATTAAGTGTTGCGTCACTAGTAATTTTAAAGTCTAACATACTTTACATACATAGACGGTAAGATGGATTCCAATAGATAGATTTGGTACCAAATTTGTAGTCGTGTACTAAATTTTGACCGAAATATTAAAACTTTCCCACAATTACCAAAAATTAAATTGCCCGTTGAATTATGTACAGACAGCACAAAATTCATGATTGAAATTCCCATTATTTCAGTTTCAGACATTACCATTTACTAGCCAAACTAACCTTTTAATTATAAGACAGTAATACACAGTTGGTTTAATAGCTTAAATTTGATACCAACATTGTAGACATATGTCAAGTTTTGACCAAAATTTACAAGGACTTTCAACATTGCACAAAATTCTCAATTTCACCACTAAAATTGTATGGGCAGCACCACTTCCTTCACCACCCCTGGTCTTCCAACTTAAAAATGCTGTAACACCAATTGTGAATATAACCTAATTAGCAAGCAAATGACATTGTAACTCAACTTAAAAAATGCTACCAAATTTGTTTGTATCAGCTAGTCTACAGTATATGGTATTGAAGACAATTTACTCTAGGATGAAACCAAAATGTGTACAGCACCACCTTTTTGTTGTCAAACTCATGACACATGTTTTTTTACATGTAAAGATTTGCCAAGGCATAGTAGAATATATAATGTCATTATTGTATTGCATAATCATTATATCTTTTGGGCAAAACAGAAGTTGTTATGGGCTGTAATTTTCAGGATCTTCGACGTAAGAGAGTTTTCTCTTCACCTTCACATTCTCCCTGTAGATTTTGTATGTAGCCGTCGGCACACCGACACTCAAACGATCCGTTTGTGTTGACACACAGAGCTGACATGGTACAGTTATCATCTTCAGAGGCACACTCGTCGATGTCTAGATAGAAATATCAAAGCATATGTCAATTTATTTTGTGAGCAAAATTTGTACGCAAAAAGTAGAATGACAAGATATTGCGAAAAAAGTCACTTCAGGCTTAAAGTTGCTCAAGCGTGGGTATATAGAGGGCAGCACACAGACGTGAGATACCTATGCCATCGTCCAAACTTTTTACGCAAGGGAGCGTATTATTGGCTCAGTGTTATGTAGTGATCGCCAACATGCCTACTTCACAAATGACTGAGAATATCGTCCGTGCCCGATTTATCTCGAATTTCGAACAACTGTTTAGCTTTGAAATATCAAATTTATTGATATGTGATTAATTGAATACATTTTAAAATGCACATTATTATAGTTCTGTAAACATGTTTATTTACAATATAATCTTGCAAGTTTTATTTGATATTTGATGGAAATTCATTAAGATTATTATTATCGAAATATGGTCAATGTCGTTGCTAGATCTTGCTTAGCAAGCATGCAACATACGCGTACATGATATTTCACTTTGTATGCACTGTACGTACACTGCAAATGTTCATGCAGACTTCATATGACTGCATTATGTACGATTATTATGGTATTACGTGCGGTACTCCCAAACTGCGCCAATGTAAACACAGAGTTTCCTTCAGGAGATTATGGCAGTTTCTGTGTGCTGCCCTCTATATACTCAAGCTTGAACATTTTTAAAAGAGGTTTTTGTAACCAGAGATTTCATTTGCACAGGCTCATTCGTAAACGGTCTGTAAAGTGCTAAACATTTTGTGCATATGGAAGCATACCGACTTTCACTGGTTGTAATCCTTATAACACACAGAAATATGGAGTACACGTAGGACCATTGTTGCATTATACCCACCTAGCTCGTCCTCCTGTGACCAAATAGACTATTTTTATAATGTTATGTAATCATTTCATTCACTTGTTCCGAATAATTGTATTTCAATTGTTACAACTCAAATTGAAAATATAAATATCATTTTGAGTCATATCACACAACTACCTCTCAATATCTAGCAAAGGTACGAGCCATGTAGTTGGCCTCTGCCAGGTCCCTCCCAGTGTATGTGTCAGCCAGCATGACACAGTCAGTAGATGGTCCATGGTCTGTCGGCCTCTGCCAGGTCCCTCCCAGTGTATGTGACAGCCAGCATGACACAGTCAGTAGATGGTCCATGGTCTGTCGGCCTCTGCCAGGTCCCTCCCAGTGTATGTGTCAGCCAGCATGACACTGACAGTAGATGGTCCATGGTCTGTTGGCCTCTGCCAGGTCCCTCCCAGTGTATGTGTCAGCCAGCATGACACAGTCAGTAGATGGTCTATGGTCTGTTGACCTCTGCCAGGTCCCTCCCTGTGTATGTGTCAGCCAGCATGACACAGTCAGTAGATGGTCCATGGTCTGTCGGCCTCTGCCAGTTCCCTCCCAATGTATGTGTCAGCCAGCATGACACAGACAGTAGACGGTCCATGGTCTGTTGGCCTCTGCCAGGTCCCTCCCAGTGTATGTGACAGCCAGCATGACACAGTCAGTAGATGGTCCACGGTCTGTTGGCCCCTGCCAGGTCCCTCCCAGTGTATGTGTCAGCCAGCATGACACAGTCAGTAGATGGTCCATGGTCTGTTGGCCTCTGCCAGGTCCCTCCCAGTGTATGTGCATGTCAGCCAGCATGAAACAGTCAGTAGATGGTCCATGGTCTGTTGGGGGGGGGGGGGTGTTTCTATTTACTGTACCGCTTCTTACTGACCCACCAGACACACTGTAACCTGACCACACAGGCATTTTCATGAGAATATTTGTCGTACAAAAGACTGTGGCGGCTTAGCAGGTCACATCTGAATGAGCACTATAGAGTTTAATATTATACCCGTGAAGATCTTCCTTACTTACCAAAGCATTCAATTCCATTTCCAACATATCCTGCATTACAGATGCACAGGTAGCTCCCAGGATTATTCTCACACGTCGCATCATCACTGCAATCATCGTCGTTAGTGGAGCACTCATTAGCATCCTCACAGAAGGTACCGTTGCCGACCCAGCCTCCATCACACACACATGAGAAACTACCAGGTGAATTATCACAAGTCGCCTGTGAGGCGCAGTCATTTAGAGATTCGTCCAGACATTCATTCATATCTTGAATATAGAAAAGAAATAAAAGGTGACAGCTAGGTCAGGGTAGTGGTGAGCACAATTTGTCTTTCATTTTTGCCCCAGAAAATTTGAAAATCGGTCTACCGATTTTTCGCTCAGTGGGGGGGGGGGGGGGTGTAATGAGCACTAAATTTCAACCCCTGTTCCTCTACATTTCCTCTTTCCTACCAATGCCAGATTATCCAACCACCCATCTTCTACTCTTCCTCTTTCCAACCAATGCCAGATTATCCAACCACCCGTCTGGTGGCATGCTCACCAATAGGGGCAACCTTGTGAAACAGTGCAAGGAATTAATGGCTTTGTGTGTGAATCGCGACCAAACAATACTGAGCGTGGTCAATACATATCCACCCGCGTTCTGCCCACGCAAATGTGGAAGTTTATCATGGGCGGTACTGTACCTGTACAAGTGGTTCCATCTCCTACGTAACCCTCATTACAAGTGCATATGAAAGAGCCTTCATTGTTTCCACACATTGCTTCCACATCGCAAGGGCTCTCCACCGTGCATTCATCAATATCTGGGAATAAAGACAATTTTAAGCTCAATTATCATCATTATCATCATCATCACAATTTAATTTTTTTACAAAATAGGGTGTTTGTTAGAGAGCATCTTATTGGCTGAGAAGCAATCACATGGCAATTTGTTATACGTGACCAAATATGCAATATACAGCCTCTTTTTGCATAATAAAATGTACGTCATACCGCATATATCTAAGTATGTGCATACCAATTGTTTGTACTGCTTTAGCCGCATAGATCTGACATGGAAAGCTTGATGGCTTGAACAAACCTCCAAGGTATGAGTTCTCAAATACCCTTATACTTTTATGCACCACACATTGAATGCATATTGTTCTATATAAAATATATATATTATAAGCCAGAATTTCCCAAGTGCAATTCTATTTCAACGTCAGCATGCATAACATCACTCAGGAATTTGTCTTTTCATACATTGTGTTATACTGAACTCTGGAGCATTCAATATTTGTATAACGTAGTGCAGCTACATGTACTACCATGTACTAGCTTTTCTGCCTTTTGGTGAACGTGAACCTAATCATTGGTGTGCTTTTAAAAATCGTTATTGTTCTTATCATTATTATTATTATTACGTTTATTATTATGATTGTTATGATTATTATTATAACCAAAATTATCATAACCATTGTAATGATTATTATCATGATTCTTATCATTACTCTTACTTTTTCACTATTCATATCATCATCATCATTATAGTCGACATTACTGACCTTCACAATTGACGTTATCATTTGTAATTGGAGAAAATCCGACTTCGCAATAGCACTGATAGGAACCGATGGTATTATTACAAAGACTGTTGTTTTGGCAACCGTGTGTACCCAATATGCATTCGTTGATATCTGAAAATAAATAAATATTTCAATTTCCGATACAACTCATATTAACCCGACATGTGACTGTAACCTCTTTCAGATGTGAAGCTGTGAAACGCGGCATTTTTCAGGTTTGTTCGTTTTAGCATTTATTTATTCATCTTAGGTGAACACTTACTTTGAAACTTTTGTAGAAATTTTGATCTTCAAAATCAGGACTAAATGAATACATGTCATAATAATTAAAGAAATTAAATTGTTCATATCCTTACAACGTTTTGCAATTTGTCAAGATGTATATATTTGTTGATAATGGGACATATTAAACATTTTCAACAAATATTCAACAATGGCCCTAGTACAATCAGTCCAAATTTCATTCTTGAGTTACGAAAAAAACAGAAAAAACATCAAATTTACAAGGAATATATATAAATAAGTTATTACTGTACTTGTACTGTCACAAAATATACTGTGGTGATTCATTGCGTTGAAATTATGCTTTATATGAAGGGTCAGTCTAATGTATAGCATATCCTATAAGTTAAACAAGTTTCAGTGAATTGCATTATGAAACAGTGAACATAAATTGACATAAACATAATAATATTCACATTTGTAAAACGCTTACTAAAATGTTTTTATAAGCACTTTACATTGTAATTATTTTACCATAGTCATTGGATTCTCTGGATTATTATTGTTATTATTATTATCATTATCATCATTATTTTTATCAGTATAATGTATTATTGATACTATTATTATCATTATCATTATTATTATTATCAGGTGGGCTGTATATCATAAAGACCACCTTACTATTATTATCATTATAATCAAAATATACTTACCATTACACCTTCTTTGATCCATATCAAGTGTAAAGCCATCATTACATGTGCAATCATATCCATTAAGTCTGTTATCACAGTTCTGATCACATTCATTAAGTGTGTCATTTGCACACTCATCAACATCTAGACAAAAATCAGCATAAAACAATGTCATCTAAAAGCACACAATAAACTGTCCGTTCCATGAAAATTTGGGGGCTAAAATCGATACTGAAAGATGAAGTTGAGTTCTGGCCATGCAGTTACAAGTACATTATGGAAGAAACTGTTTAGAAACAAAGGTGAACAGTCAATAAAGTAATATATAATAAATATTGCATGCAGTGATGTTTTAGAATCATCAAAACAACAAGAAATGTACTGGCAAATTGCTGAAAACTACACACAGAAAGGAGTTGGGTTATGAATTAAAAAACGACAAATGTACATGTCGCACTATGATAATCAGTACAGTTTGATATAGTATCATGATGTAGTAGAAAATCATAGATAACTTTAAGAGAATACTAAAATCTGAATGTGTTGTTTTGTTTTATTTTGAGCACCTTTAGGTTATTTTTGTTATCTTTTTATTTTCAGAGGCTTGAGCACCATCTGGGTGAAAATGTTGCTCACTAGAAATGACTACATTTCAACTGTTGTAATTATTATTATTATTATTATTGATGATATTATTATTATTCTCATCATTATCATTATTATCAATATTATTATTATCTTAATTTGTATCATGATAATTATTTTAAAAATTATTGTTACTTCTATGGTAAACAAAGGCATACCAAAGCAAGTTAATCCATCTCCTGTAAGAGACGGTGGGCATGGTCCACACATCGGCATAACTGAAGGTGGCGGCAAGTCAGAGCAGAAAACACCTTCATAACAAGGGGAACGTTGACAAGAGTCGAAGTCTACACCACAGTGATCACCTGACCAGCCAACATCGCATGTACATGTGACAACCTGTAACACAGTCATTAAATTCAATCCATTGATGTTTCGTTAATATAAAAATAAATATTTGAACTATGCATGGTTTGGCAAGCACAGTCAAGATACCCTCCCTTTTCACCTAAGATCCTAACTGATAACAATTTGAATGACCAAATGCCCATTTTTTTACATTTTCATGTGACTCATTTATTGTTAATTGTTTTTGCTCACTCATGCATGACTGGTATAATTACAAATGTATATCATTTTAAAGAGGTTTAATTTTATGTTTATTATGTTTATTTTAATTTATGAAAGCTAGGTTAATATTAAATACTTATTTTAGAATCATAACTATAATGATAATAGTGTCCAATTTCTTGTTTTTACTGAGTGTAATATCATATTTACTATTTAAAATGGATAACAAACATAAACATAACCAGTACATATCAAAGCCATGAAAAAAAGTAGATGATCTTTACCTTATGATAACAAATTATAAAACAAGCAATGAATGGGTAATTACATGTAGTTAAGAAACGTTTTGTACAAATCAAACAAAAGCAAGAATAACAACATTAAAATATCATGTATGAATAGAAGTGCTAAGAACATTCTGACAGTACTTCTAGCTATTTTCCTGTTACGATTTGTACAACACCATAATCTGTATTTTGGAAAAACACAGTCACAAAGGAATCTGGAAATAAACTCGAGGTAAATTCAATTGCTTTTGTGCCACCTTTTGATAAATGTGCAAACCATTACAATGGATGGTTACATAATTTGAACATGATTTCTAAAAAGAGCAGTAAGGTGATTATTTGTGAGTCTCTGTGACTGTGTTATGCATGGAGATATGGAATTCTTCAGTAATTTATTTTTGTGAAATGAAAGTGTTGCTGTAAAAATAGGGCAAAGTGATTATGCAAATTACTTGCTTGAGAAAACATTGACAAAGTTGTTTAGGTCATACAGAAGAAACATCGGTATTGGTACACCAATAAAAATCACAAGCTGCGTTAAAAAGAAAATATGTATAGACCTATTTGTGTGATTTTTAAGATTATTTCAAAATGCTAAAAAATACATTCATATTTTCAAGATCTAAGTTTGCTGCTACTAACAGTGAACGATTGTTTATATGCTTTTGTTAATATTTGTCCAGTAATTCCATATTTCTACTCACGGTAAAGCCATTGTTGTTGAGATCCTGATTTGCTGCTAAGTTGTCAAAGTTGCATACTCCATCATTGGAACACTGACACACTCTGACCTTGTAAGTTAGTAATGTACTCGCTCCAAAATCATCGGTTGCTACGATCTCAATCATAGAAACATCTAAGCTTGGAGGAGTCCATGTGAACAATCCAGTATCTGCAACAGTCAAAGAATATAATAAAAATAATAACAATAATAATAATAAAAACATGTAATAACAACAATGTATGACACACAATGTGAATCTATCCTCCGGCAGTGGCAGCGATTTTTGTGTCATCCTTATGTTCGAAGGAGACACAAAGATCCCCTCTCCCCTCCCTGCATGAAACAAAAGGATGATGTAGAGATTGCCACTAGTATAGTACTCAGTGTTATTATAGTGGCCTAGACTATTGTCAAGGCCGGCTAGGAGCAGCATCACCAAATAATATATGTGGTAGATTAAGGGATAATGCATCTCTTTAGAAAATTTGAAAGATATCTGTCCAGAAATGTGGCAGTTAGAGCGCATAAAAGGCATACCGGTATGACTTTTGGCCCTATAAAGGACTGAACAATGAGAGCAGCATTACCCAAAGTGTAGATGTATAGATTATATCAAGACCAAATAACCAATGTTTATCTCTTTTTTGGAAAAAATAATATTTCAATATTTTATACCTAATCATGGAAATGAGGGATTTGGGGGCTGACATTCAAAGACAAAAGGTCATGTGACTTTGTAACGGTAGGTCCAATTTTTGAACATGTGTCTTTAAAGATATGCAAGACTCTAACGGAAAAAGTCATGAAGTAGCACCATAAAATATTGAAGCATTACATAGTAATCGCAAATGTAGAGGGGCAATTTAAGGGTTAAGGATTCTGGAGGAAAAAACATCAGATGACCTTTTTGTATGATGAAAAAGAGAATACGTGCATTATCAGATCATGGGTAAAATCCCATTGGCAGTCTGTGGACAAAAAGGCAACCAATAAACGGTTTTGAAAAATTTAGCATTATGGTAATTTACGCAAATAAGGTCATACAATATACAGTTTTACAATAAATCATTAATTCTTCATATATTATTTACATTAATTTTCATTACATACATTGAATATTCTTTAGACCATTTAGAATAATAGTACAACAAAAAAATTTGGATAGGCCAGGTTGTTCCTTATGTTATCTATTGCTTCACTAATTTATTATGTATATCATTGTTTTTTTAACTTATGTATTTTAATGTTTAAGTGGTGGTCATCCTCAGGGGTTCCAGAACAATCAGAATATTCGCGGAGGGGGGGGGGGGGGGGGGTTCCATTGGCCCCCTCCCTGGCCTGATAAGGGTTAATGTGCTCACAAATTACCCAAGATTCTAGCTTCTTTAGGCTCCCAATATTTGGTGCTCACAACATTCAAGGAATTCCTTCCTACCAATTTGAAGACTTTGACAAATTGTTTTAATGAAATCATTCTTTTTCATGATCGTCAAAGCTTTACAGCTTATATCTGATTTTTTATTGCCATCAGAGCATACTGGATTAAAAGATGAATATTAAACGTCACTAAAAATAGACAATAAACTGCAACATACTTTGGTCTATGGTTGCGCCAGACTGAGCACCCTGCAATGAATACTGGACAACATCTTCGTCATTTGGATCTGAAGCTGTTATTTGTAAGGTAACTGTTTGGTCAACAATTACACGCAGTATACCGCTCTCTGACAGTGCATCTGTCGAACTGGTCTCAATGACAGATGTGATGTTTGGTGGGAAGTTATCTATAAATTAAATGAAAAACAAAATAATAACAACATTAATAATATTAATAATAATCAAAATAATATTAATGATAATAATAAAAGTAAAATAAATATTGATGAAAATAATGATAATAATAAGAAGAATATCATTTCATTTCTAAAGTGTGTTTTGATCTGATAAAAAGCGCATATATATAAACATATTTATACTGTACTAGTGTATTTTGCATGACGTTTCGTTAACGGTAGGAGGGGGTGCTTAAAAATTTGTTCTTTCTAAGTATTGGTATTAATTTTATTATAGATGAAGAAAATTACTACGAGCTGTAACTTACTTAAATCCGATAGCTGTATTTCAAAAGCATTATTAGAAGACAATGTATCTAAACCAACTGATGGATCAACTGCTAGGGAATCAAAGAGGCATGCTTCACTATCCCCACAAAACGCTTTAGCTTGTGCTGCCAAATCCGGGTCTGCCGCAATCAGCTCTGAGAGGAAGGGAGGGACGTAGTCAGGATCATTATAGTAACTCCAATCCCGATCGCCGTAATCGAAGAGGGATTCACTCGGTGAGATCATCCCTTCAGAGAAAAGAAATAAATAAAAGATAAACGGTTAATGTGACACCTGTATATAAAGACAGCTCAAGGGAGGCAAGAAATGTGGTCTTTATAGGCAGGTGGTCTTTAGAGACAGATTGCTTTAGAGCACGATCCAATAGGAAGTAATTTTCAATACACCAGTTTACGGTTGTGTGCGCCATTTTAAACAAAGCCAATGACCTAGAGGTCATGTATTTATGCGTAAATTAAGATTGCGCCCATGCAAATTATGATGATATGCCTACGTGCTGCATTGTGCGCGCACATCATCATTTGCATGGGCGCAATCTTAATTTACGCATAAATACCACTGGTCAAAGGTTATTGGCCCTGTTTCAGGGCCAATGACCCGAGGTCAACTGTCTGCGCATGCGCACTGATACAACTGTAAACTGGTGTATTTAAACTAAATGTCATTTGAACAGCTAAACGCTAACTAGAAAAGCTGGAGACAGAAAGTTATTGAGAACCTGCTTTTTAAAGGACGATTTCATTGTCGCACCAACGGTCTCCAAGCTATGATGGAACATAGATGGATAGATACACTCTAGCTCTTAACTCACATATTATGCATCAACGCTCTTGAAACACGTCGGCCTCAGCCATCATAATACGTGAATTAACTATTGCTTTGTCGGTGTCACAGATATGTTTGATTAATACAAACGGACCAGGTATTTTTAGTCAATAATTACTCCACCAATAAACATGTACTAGGGTGATCAATTTATAATAATAATAATAATATTCTGGGTTTATGTATACCATTTCATACATCAATAATGTCTCTCAGCGCTTCACAGATACATTTTTACCCCGTTCATTCGATTAAGGCTTTGCCTGCTCACAATGTACATTCTCCACACCATGTGGAGCATTCCAGCCAGGTGCCACTCAACACCGCCCACAATGTTGAGCAAACTACAATGACTTTTGCATTTCTATGTTTACAGCATGAATCAAGCATTTGATGTATTCAAAACTAGATGGAATTCGACTGCGCGCAGTCAAAAATGATGCCTCCTTCATAGAGCAATTTTACAAACCGAAACGGAAGAAATTTTTCAAATTCAAGTTCAATTGTAATCCATTAACATTTTCTCAGAATATCGTGATTACAAGCAATTTCTCATATACATATATGACCCTTTGATCTTTGACCTCATGACCCTAAAATCTACTCAGTTCATTGGCTCTGCAAGATGTCCTGAGTTAAATAGTAATCCATCTGTCAGTTCTAATGAGAATGTTTTCACAAGCTATTTTTGCATACATAATGAGCCCATGACCTTTAATCTTATGAACCAAGAATCTACTCAGTTCATTGGCTCTGCAAGATTCATAAATGATCTAAGTTTGGCAGGAATCCATCAATCTGTTCTAATGATAATACGATCACAAGCTATTTTTGCATACATAATGAGCCGCATGACCTTGACCTTTATCTCATGACCCCAAAATCTAATCAGTTCATCAGCTCTGCAAGTAACATACATGACCTAAGTTTGGCAGGAATCCATCAATCGGTTCTTGAGTTAACGCGATCATGAGCTGTTTTTGCATACATAATGTGCGCTGTGACCTATGACCTCGTGACCCCAAAATCTTATCAGTTCATCGGCTCTGCAAGTAACATACATGACCTAAGTTTGGCAGGAATCCATCAATCGGTTCTTCAGATAACGCGATCACAAGCTGTTTTTGCATACATAATGAGCCCTGTGACTTTTGACCTTTGACCTCGTGACCCCAAAATCTAATCAGTTCATCGGCTCTGCAAGATACATACATGACCAAAGTTTGGCAGGAATCCATTTATCGGTACTTCAGATAATGCGATCACGAGAACGGGACGTACGTAGAGACGTATGTAGAGACGTACGTAGAGACGTACGTACGGACGGACAACCCGAAAACATAATGCCTCCGGCTACTTCGTAACGGAGGCATAAACAATTACAAAATGCCACTATAGACTTTTTGCACATTTTGTAAAAGATCTTTAAAAATAAAGCATCAAACAGTAGTATCTGAATGAGTAACACAAATTCAAAGTACTCAAAGAAAATGTATTTCATTTGTTGTTGTTTTTTTCATTTGTGAGATTGAATATATATTGTGACTTATCTGTATCATTTAAAAGAGTAATAAATTGTTCACAAATTTAGTACACATCATATGGCGATATGTAAGACATGCTGAAACAAGTACAGGAATTTGGAAAAAATTGTTGGGTTTTGGAAGAATGTTGAAACAAGCAAAACCCCTTCACACAGTTAACATTAAAAATAAGTTACTCACAACTTTGTCCAAAATCAAAGATATCTCTCCCTGTCAGGTTTCTCTCAGCCGTATCCATGATGATGGTTCCGTCCCGGTATTGGAAATCATCATTCTTATCACCATTCATGAGGCCTAAACAAAAAGACAATAATTATAATAATACAATTAATGATGACAAAAGTAATAATATAATAATGATAGTACTATCATAAATAATAATAATAATAGTAATAATCATAATACAATTATTACTCAAAATAGAAATAATAATAATAATGATAATAGTAATGACAATAGTAATAATAATGATAGTTACAATAAATGTAGTATAGTATTAATGACTGCTTTGAGAGAAATAGTTGTTTTTATACGCTCAAGGGAAGGTTAGAATTGTGCTATTGCCCGAGGCGTGCCGAGGGGAATAGCCCAATTGTAACCTTCCCGAGAGCGTATAAAAACAACTATTTCTCGAATATTAAAGCAGTCATTAATATTTTTATATGCCAAAAAAAAACAAAAAAAACAACAAAAAAAAAATTGTCGAAGATGGGATTCGAACTCTTGCGTATCAAAGGCGATGTTACTAAAGTCAGCGCCTCAAACCGCTCGGCCAGCGCGCTATGTCACCATGTACAGTAGTTTTCTTTAATATATACATTAAAATGAATTGAAAACGGCTTCGCGTGGTCGATGCTTCGCCGCTGCTCCATTAAACGGGCCCTTCTTTTACTTTTGCAATGCACATTGGCACAAACTTAGATCAAGATCTATCGGCAGATGTTTTTTTTTTTGTTTTTGGAAGTTTATTTTCGTCTTCATGTCAACAATGCAAGATAAAATTGTCGGTAAGATCGATCGAGATTCAATTGTATTGAAATTACCGACCAATTCTTCACACACGTACGGTATCCTCGATCGCTCAGACCATTTTTTAACATGTAAACCTATGGGGTAACCATGGAGACTGACCTATTTTGAACTGTTTTTTTAACCATGGTTACCGGGAATTTTCGGGAACAGTTCATGAATGCAATTTCGACCAATCAGATTGCTGGATTACTTAAGTGAGGTATATAATAATTTATAATGTTACTTGTTAATCCTCATCATTTTTAATAATGTAATTTTTATTATTATTGTTATTATTATTATTATTACACTACTTACCGAATAGACCATTTCCAATCCCTCCAGTAGCGTATTCTCGAGGAACAAAACTATTTCCTAGTAATATCCCGGTTCTGAAAACCACACGAAGTCCGGAGCTAGGTATGTCTGGTAGTTTGAAGGTTACAATGATAGCAGTTTCACTTTCTGCCGCCTCATCATCACTGTGTAAGTTGAAAGTTGGGTCAGCGGAGTCATAGCCATCTGCATGAAGAAATACATTTATCTTGTGAAAGAATTTGTTATAGAGCAATTTCATCCACAAGTAAATAGTCTCTTGATATGACTTCTGATAATATTACTGGTATACGAAAGAACCGGCCTAAACGGTCAAAGTAAGAAATGTTCATTTGGGATGAAATAAATTGGATAAATGTCATACAGTGCATGTCATACGGGCCTCAGTGCATGTAATCGCCCTACATGTATATCATTATAAAACTTGAGAAAGGTTCCTCCCATCAAAACAGATATTGTTAGTGGCAACGATACATATATTACACTCTAAAACAAGTGTCCTGTATTTTTCAGTTATTTACATTGTATATCAAAGCATACTTACAAGTTCTTTGAGGTGAGGAAAAAAGAATAACAATTTGCATTTTCATTTTATAGTGGGTATGTACATTTATATACACTTGGATATACATGTATATTACCCTGAAAGGCCTGTTTACTAAGTCTATGCATGCTTTTTGAACAATATTGCTCTTGACAACTAAAAAGAGAAACATGCATAGATTGAAATACATTAGTAAACAGGCCTATCACAAGTACCAGCAGTACCTGCTTCAAGAGTTGATATATCGACTGACGTCTGGTTGACCGAGAGTAGCAGCTCTGTTCTATCATCATTTAAAGTAAATGATACCTATAAAGAAAAACCCAAATTCATGTAATCAATCATCTTCATTATCATTTATCATTCATTTATTTTGGGGGAATAAATTTCCTCGGGAGGGGGGGGGGGGGGGGGGGGGGGGGGGGGGGGGGGGGGGTGGGGAGGGGGGGGGAAAGGGTGGGGTTGTAATTTTCCTGGGGGGGGGGGGGAATTTTCGGGGAATTTTTGTCCTCTGGGGTGGTTGTTCTGAAGGGGTAATTTTCTGGAGGAGGGGGTATTTACTAGGGGGTAATTATCCTTGGGGGTTTACTGTCCCGTTCGTAACTGGCTGAGGGTGATTGTCCTGGGGTAATTGTCCTAGAACCTAACAATACCACAATCATTGTAAAGAACTTTGTAACTGCTTTTAAAAGTCTAACCTGAAGACAGTCCTTTTCTTAAAAGCATACACTAACTAAATGTGTAGAATTTTTACACAATTCGTCCTTGTTTTCACGAAGTGACGGTAGTGAGGAACATCATCACGCAAAGTGAATGCAATTTTTTTTACTACCGTCACTTCGTGAAAACAGCGACGAATTTGTAATTTTTAATTGATCCTTTGGCGGTTAGGAAAAGAAACTGGACAGATGGCGCATTTAAGGGACATTATTATTATTTTTATTATCATTATTATTATTTTTATTATTATGATTATCATTATAAGTATTATTATTAATAATCATTAATTTTATTATTATCATGTACAGTAAAGTGATTAAGAGGAACACTTCTTAAGAAAGAATTCTCACGTTTGTAATGCCTTGTGTCGCAGCGAAACCCGTAAAAACGGTCCCTGTGTTGACAGGTTCACCATTCCTGAATGCTACGCCGGTACGAGTCTGTAGAACAAATGGGTCATTATTGTTGTATTGCATCATAATGTACTCGCCAAATCCATTGAAGCTGTACATCCTCCCATCAAATGTTACAAAGTGTGGGTCACCAGATCCCTGAGCTAGAATGATAATAATGAAGAGAAATAAAATTGTAATAATATTAATAATAATATTAACATAAAGTAATAACGATATGAATAATAATAATAATAATAAAATAATAATATATGGTTATTAATGGTTATTAATAATAATGTAGTGTGTTCTTCTGCTACCACAATTATTGGATTCAAATACGTCAAAATCTGCAACAGTGCAAGATCAACGACAAATGGTGAAAGACCGTAACAGATCTTTGATTAATATAGGTATGTTGTGGAGTGTATAGACTAATTGCATTTTTGTTTTTTTATTTTATTCAATATATATATATATATAGGCCTATATATATATATATATAGGCCTAGACCTAGATTTATATAGACTAGGTCTAGATCTAGGCCTAGTCTATATATTTTTTTTCTGGCAATTTTCTGAATGGGATGACGAGCGCGCGCCTGCCTGCACCCATGCCCACCATCGGTATGCACTTGTATTGTGCAGTGGTTTGTCGTGAATTCTGTGAAAAAGTGTAGATTTATACTAATAATAATAGATCTAGATCTAGATCCGAAAAATACTCCTCAAAAAACAAGAAAATTTAGGTCTAGATCTAGGGCCTACACGAAACAGGTAAGAAACACAATTATTTTCAAATCATGATCTTTATTTGGACATTCAATGAATATTTACTTTATTTTTGGTATTTTGTTAGTAGAGTATCTCCACGCCGGGTTACGGGTCATATTTTGGATAGGTTTTCTGAACAAGCGCCGGATATACTCGCCATGATGATGAACATTAATTATCAAAACAGTGGGACAGACTAACATGACACTGTTATTAATGCGTGGGGCCGGGCTTACTCACAGATTTCACAGGAAAGTACATCAACACTCACAAAAAACTGCATGACGTGAGCGCATGGACCTTCTAGTCACCATCAAAGTGTAGCGTTCCGTACACAATTAGACCAAGATGAGGGATGCATCATTCCAGTAATTTAGATGGGTTTATTCAGGGTTATATAGGTCTAGTCTCGACCCTCTAATTTCTATCGAGTATTGTTGGGTAGCATATATTGGCACGAGCTTTAGTGGAGTCATGAATATTCATTAGTCCCTACGTCACATACGTGCGGCGTGCGTATATACACATGTACTAGTACACGAGTACGTTTGTAAGTATTAGTACATGTACGTTGCTCCGGAATGAAGAGAATCGCTATAAAGGACGAATTACTCCGTGAAGCCAAGTACGAACAGAGAATTGAAAGCAACTACACTCCCTAATCTAGCTAGTTTTGTAAAAACAAATAGGTATTTTTTTCATAATATTTTACTCTTTCGTGGCTTCATACTAAGGAACTTTCAAAAAGATGATTTGTAGAAAAAAGAAAACTGAAGAAAAGAAAACATGTGCACCCAGCAGTTCAATGCAGTTCCTACCTACCTAGGCCTACCTAAACCCACCTACAAAATATTACTTGCATGTTGCTTAAATAGTTGACAGCCACAATATTTAGTAAAATAATAGGCGTTTCATGTATTTTAATACTGGTAAGTTGCTCGATATGATTTGATTCGATATATATCTCATTAATAAAACCATCTAAAGGCTATAAGTCTCAAACATATCTTAAACCGAGTGCTAACAGCATTAAACCATGCCCCCAAATTTAGTGATCTTTTTTTTTATATCGAAATACCGAGGTTTCACTGGTTTATTTAGCAACATGAAGATTGTAATACTATAATGTTCGAGTACATCACTTTGTGTATGATTTGATCCGATATCTCAGTAATGAAACCACGCAAAGGCATTCTAGTCTCAAAAAACCATCACCATTAAACCGAGTGCGAACACCATTAAACCATGCGCCAAATTTAGTAATCTTCTTTTGTGTATCGAAAGACGGAGGTTTCACAGGTTTTATTTAGGGAATTGGAAATTTGATACTGGTAAGATGCTCGATAACATCACTAAGTCTGATTTGATTAGATATATATCTCATTAATGAATCCATCTAAAGGCTATATTAGTCTCAAACAAACCAACACCATTAAACCGAGTGCCAACACCATTAAACCATGCGCCAAATTTAGTAATCTTCTTTTGTGTATCGAAAGACCGAGGTTTCCCGGGTTTATTTAGGAAAATGGAAATTTAATACTGGTAAGATGCTCAATTACATCACAAGGTATATAATTTTGATCCGAGATAATCTAATTAATAAAACCATGCAAAGGGATTCCAGTCTCAAACAAACCTTCACCATTAAACCGAGTGCCAACACCATTAAACCATGTGCCAAATTTAGTAAACTTCTTTTGTGTATCGAAAGACCGAGGTCCCCGGGTTTATTTAGGAAAATGGAAATTTGATACTATTAATGTTCGATAAAATCGGTCAGTATATGATTTGATTCGATATATTATATCTCATTAATGAAACCATCTAAAGGCTTTATAGTCTCAAACAAACCTCCACCATTTAACCGAGTGCCAACACCATTAAACCATGCGCCAAATTTAGTACAGGCGCGGATCCAGGGGGGGGGGGGGGACCGAGCGTGCCTTGGCCCCCCCCCCCCCCCGCAAAAAAAAAAAAAAAAAAGAGAGAGAGAAGGAAAAGAAGGGAAAGAGGAGAGAAGGGAAAAAAGAAGAGGAAGAAGAAAAGAAAAGAGGGAAGAAGGAGATCGGGGGGGGGGGGACTTGCCTCCCCCCAATAAAAAAATAAAAGAGAAGGAAGGAAAGGGAAAGAAAAAAAATAAAGAGGAGATAAAGGGAAGGACAAAATAGGAAGAAGAAAAGAAAAGAAGGGGGATATCAGTTGCAATTTTCCCGCCAACAAGTTGTGGATCGAGGGGGGGGGGGGGGGGGGGGGAGAGACCCTAGCCTCCCCTCTCCCCCCCCCCCCCCCCCCCCCCGTCCCCGCTAAAAAAAAGAGAGAAGGAAGGTAAAGGAAAAGAGGAGAGCTAAAAGGGAACAAAAAGAGGAAGAAAAGAAGCGGAGATCAGTTGCGGTTAATCCCGCCAACAATGTGTGGAGCGGGTTGGGGACCAAAATGACCGTGCCCCTCCCCTCCCCCCCCCCCCCCCAGCAAACCTAAAAGAGAGATAAGGAAGGGAAGGGAAAGTGAAAAAGAAGAGAAAGGGAAGGGAAAAAAGGAGAATGAAGAAAGGTAAGGGATATCAGTTGCAATTTTCCCGCCAACAAGGTGTAGATCGGAGGGGGGGGGGGGGGCACTGGCATACTGATAGGGGAGGGGGGGGGGGGTTGGAGAAATAGAATTCAAACGTGGTTTATTTATAATTCCATAACGGTGGTTAACAAATAATGCTGAAATGAGATAATTTTCCTCACTTCATGCGTTTGTTGGAAAATGACAAATTCCTAAATTTACAGCCAGGCAAGAAAATGCTTCTGGAGATGCCTACATATCAGGGCCCGCGGAACGGCGGGGATCGGGATCCTCGAGCCCCTCTCCCCACACTTTCTTTGAAAAAGTATATTAAAGAGAAATAGAAATAAAGAGAGCGAGAAAGAAAAAATAGTTAACTGCCAGTGTCACATTATAATGGGGTATCAAAATATGCTCATCTGACCATGATTAAAATTAATGCCTAAAATCCTAAGGGCTCTGCCCCCTGGATTCCACCTAGGGCCCTAAGGAGGGCCCTTAGATTATGACGGTCATTTAATGCCTAAAACTCCTGATTTCTGGGGGCTCTGCCCCCTGGACCCCACGCCAAATAGTGTCCTGCTAATGTCACAAATAATAAGGTATCAAAAATGCTCATCTGACCGTAATTAAACGCCTAAAACCCCTAAGCTTCTGGGGGCTCTGCCCCCTGGACCCAACCAAGAGCCCTTAGGCGGGCCCCTCGATACTCATCTGACCGTAATTGAGTGCCTAAAACCCTTGAGATTCCGGGGCTCCGCCCCCTGAACCCCAAGCCAATTAGTGACCTGCCATTGTAACAATTAGGTATCAAAATAATGCTCATCTGACCGAAATTAAATGCCTAAACTCCTGAACTTCCGGGGCTCTGCCCCCTGGACCCCGTCTAGGGCGCTAAGGCGGACCCCTGAATGCTTATCTGACCGTAAATTAAAACCTTAAACCCCTGAGCTTCCGGGCGGACAAGGTATCAACATAATTCATCTGACAGCAGGCGCGTAGCCAGGGGGTGGCGGGGTGGTCCCCCAATAAACGCCGGCCAAAAAAGAGAGGAGTGTAAAGGAAGAGGACGTAGGAAGAAAAGGGAATAGACAAAGAACATATTTGAAATTCAGACAAGGATTAAGAGTCGAGAACGGTACAACGAATCGTCTTCTTTCTCTAATGAATTAATGAAACGTCAAAGCTTCCGCGCTACGCGCGGGGGAGGGCAGGGGGAACTTAATTCAGACGAGGATAATTTTCGGGAACGGTACAACGAATCGTGTTCTTTCTATAATAATTTAATGAACGTCGAGGGGGGGAATTGATTTAGACAAGGATTAAGAGTCGAGAACGGTACGACGAATCTTCCTCTTTCTCTAATGATTTAATTAAAAGTAAAAAGCTTCCGCGCTTCGCGCGGGTGGGGGAAACTAAATTATTTTCGAGAGCGGAACAACGAATCGTCTTCATTCTCTAAAAATTTAATAAAACGTCGAAGCAGGGGGAAAAACTGAATTTAGACAAGGATTAAGAGTCGAGAATCGTCTTCTTTCTTTAATGATTAAATGAAACGTAAAAGCTACCGCGCTTCGCGTGGGAGGGGGGAAACTGAATTTAGACAAGGATTAAAAGTCATAACGGTACAACGAATCGTCTTATTTCGCTAATGATTTAATGAAACGTAAAAGCTGTATTCAGACGAGGATTATTTTCGACAACGGTACAACGAAATCGTCTTCTTTCGCTAATGATTAAATGAAACGTACAAGCTTCCGCGCTTCGCGCGGGAGGGAGGAGGGGAAAACTGAATTCAGATGAGGATTAAGAGTCGAGAACGGTACAACGAATCGTC